AATCTCAGATATACAACTAATTGCTATAGCCAATTATAAAAATATTATTCGAGCGTAATATCTGAACAGATATCAGTATTCTATTGTCATAGAATTTTATATAAAATATCAAGAAATTTGAATCATGGCCTTGATAATTTCTGTGTATTGTAAAAGCACTATAATGATTAACTTTTAGTGTCCTAATCCTCTGCGGTTTTTCATTCTTCTAAAAGATAAAGAAAAAGAATGTAACTGAGTGTTTCATAGGAAACAGCATTGCTTTTTTAATCAACAAATTACTCCCAGTGTATCTGAAAAAAAAACTTTTTGTTTAAAAATATGATATTATTTTAAGAAATAATTAAAGCATATCCGCAAAGGATTATTTAAATAACATTAACGATTGTGCGCAAGTAGCATCACTCAGTTCTAATAATGATTTGAAAATGCGTTATTTAAAAGCTGTTTTTTAGATATTTTGTTGGAAAGATTTATAAACTTCAAAATAAATTGTTCAAATTTTTGTAAATCTTGATGAACCAATTAATTAAACAATACTAATTCTGCGATGCTAGAAAGACGACAAACGAAAGGATCGTGGATCCGATTGTTATTATTCACATAGATCGACCTTTTCTAATGAAATTGTACAAATAAGACTAAATTGATGACGTAGACTTAGAGTACTATCAACATAAAATAGTTACGACATCAGCATAAATCCCAAAGAATCTAAAAAAAATTTTTATTCCTATGTTGTTCCATTCTTTCTAGCACCATTCAGTACTTTCATTAGTGCAACATTTTAGAATCAAAATAAACAGAAAACTAAAAATTTAATTTCTATTGATTAAAAGAAACTTGCAATATTTAGCATTTTCATAAAATTTGTTCCTACATTGAAACAATATTTTTAATCGTAGTGAGCATTAGAAATATTACTAATATCAAAAAGTACCAATATAACTAAAAGATCGTTACATGTGTTATTAAGAATTGGTACTGTTTTTATTGCAATGTTTTATCATTTTTCTTATTTATTAATTCCTCCTTTGTGTCTGTTTCCTCAATTTTTTCTTTAATTTCTTTTACTGAACTTTCACCCACATTTATAGGACTAAGAGTATTTTTAGATTTTATTTCGCAGGAATTTAAAGTATTCTTTAAATTTTTATCAGATGATTCGTTATTTTTCTCTGTTAACTTATTATTGCATACCGATTGATTATTAATTTCTATCACAGAATATGTTTTCTCTTCCAACGAAAACACAGAATTATCTGTTATCTCTTTTATATTTTGCTGCACCATAACTTCATCTTCGATATTATCACAGTCGTCATCTACAAACTGTTTTGTAACTTGTTTCAATGATTGTTGATCATCTTTATGCAAAAAAGTTTGATCTATTTCAACATTGTCCAATACTTCACTTTTATTTGACATGAGTTCCTCATTAAACTGAATATCATTTGGAACTGATACCTCGGAAGACATATTACAATTTTCTTGCAAATTTTCTGTTACCTTATTTGCAAGAAGATCTGGACACTCATTCTTATTTTCAAAACTATTTTTATTCGTTATATCTTTGGCAATGTGTTCAGAATTATCTGTACTTGATATGGAAGTCAAAGAAATTTCTTTCATTTCAACTTCTTTCACTAGCAATATTTCATTTGTAACTTCATTCTCAATATTTGATTGTACATTTTCTGTATTAGGTATTTCAATTGCTTCAGATTTAATTTCCTGTAATGTGCTACTATTCTTTGTTATAATATCATGTTCAATATTCTCTTCAACAGTATATTCGATATTCTGTTCAACATTATGTTCAATATCTTGTTCAATATTATATTCAATATTTTGATCAACAGTATGTTCGATATTCTGATCAACAGTATGTTCGATATTCTGATCAACAGTATGTTCGATATTCTGATCAACAGTATGTTCGATATTCTGATCAACAGTATGTTCAATATTCTGTTCAACATTAAGTTCAATATTCTGTCCAATATTTTGTTCAATATTTTGTTCAATATTTTGTCCAATATTTTGTTCAATATTCTCTTCAATATTTTGTTCAATATTCTCTTCAATATTTTGTTCAATATTCTCTTCAATATTTTGTTCAATATTCTCTTCAATATTTTGTTTCATATTCTCTTCAATATTTTGTTCAATATTCTCTTCAATATTTTGTTCAATATTCTCTTCAATATTTTTTTCAATATTTTCTTCAATATTTTGTCCAACATTCTGTCCAAATTTTACTTCATTAGAAATTGAACATTCTTGAATTTCACATTTCTGTGAAACATCCACGCTTGAAGAATCATGTTTTAGCTTCATATTTCCTTTTGAAGGCTTTGGTGATTTAATAGAATAAGATTTTTGCTGATCCTTTTGCGTAAAAGATTTAAATTCATTTTCATAGTACTTGCATGAATTTCCATCGTTATCTTCCTTTTTGACATCTTTTCTTTGATGATACTGATATTTTATCTCGTTCTCTTTCTTTTTTTGTGAATGAGACCTCTTTAAATTAGGAAACTTTTGATTATTTGAGAAAGTTCCCTTTGACTTATCTTCAAATGATTTTTGACGAAAGAAAGGTTCACCTTCAGTAGGAGATGCATCGACATCTGATTGACTATACGTTACACGAGTTCTTTGCCGCGGTCCAACTCTTCCAGTTCCAGCTATACTTGGTGAGTTCACTAAAAATTTTATTTATATTTCAAGAAATTTATATATATTAGGATTTTTAACAGAACGTAAATCAGAAAATATTTAATCAGGAACTTTATTTCAAATTGAATTAGAATTTCAATAGTATCCTATGATATTGGAACATCAGGATTCCTCAAATTTCGAATAGCCATAATATATGTCTGAATGAACAATATTTGATATAGTTGAAAATTGGGATTTTCGAATTTAGTGTTTGTGTTTTCATTTATAGTTGTAATTTTGTCCTTAATTATAATCTTTAGTTATGTTCCTAATGAAAAATATTTTAAGTATTCAAAATCTCAGAAATCCTGTTATTCTTAAAGATAAAATACTTTCAAGGCCTTGTCTTAATCCGAGTGTCGGATTCTTAACTTAATCTGTAATTTTAGAATTTTATTATACCATTTAAATGTAAAAAGCCATATAATTTAGAAGTTAAAAATAAAAATTTGGTTTTAAAACATAATTTTTGTAATTAATAAATATATAAAATAAAATATGTATGATACCTTTAACACTCATTAGTTGCCCTTTAGTAACATTGCTTTGATTTACTATGACTTTAATACTCTTCTCGGTTGCAACGACAGTTCTTTCTTCAGAAGTTGGAGAAACAGGACTTTTTGCTAATGCCGCTATATTATTTCTATGTTGGTCATAAGTATTATGAGACCGATTTTCGTAGTTACTATAAAAATTCTTTGTTGAACCACGATGAGGACGGTGATTTCCACTGCGAGTGTAATTGACATGTTCATTATCTAAAAACAATAAGTTTTAACAATATTTTATAAAGTACACAACTTTAATAATAAAAATTAACCATACTATTAGCATGATATCTTCTATCAGAATCTTTATAATCCTTTTTCGTAAAATCTCCTAATATAGGCCTTGATAATTTCTTTGCGCCATCATCTATAATATGCACCTACAATGCAACATAATTTCATTATATGGTCACAAATAGACATGACTAATATTTTGTTAATAAAAGCTTATCATGTGACACATTTCTATGTGTAAAATACTTTAGTATCGAATTATAATTTAAAATAATTATGATTTTTACTAATTCTTCCTCATTGTTATAGATTAACTACATTTAAGCTTACAAGAGTGCAAAAGATGTAATTACCCCACATATATTTAATAATTTTATTACTGAATCTACCATAAATCATTGGTTTTTCAATTAATGCAGCACTTGCTTACAATAATTGTAATTTTACAATAATTACAGTCATCTTTCAGATATTACGAAAACATAAATGTAGTATTGCTAGTGTATTATAGTAACCTAAATTAAAATTAATTTTCAATCTTAAAATCAACATTTAGTACCACAATATTCCGGTCTAAACATTTATAATTACTAATTTAACATATTATGAAAATTTGTTCATACTTTATCATTATCCCATTCTCTACGCCAATTGCCCTCTGCAGTTCTTTGTCTATTGATACGATCTTCATCAATACGATTCCTTTCTGCTCTCCAAGCATCATATCCTGGTTGAGATTCATCTCTATAATTTCCTTTATTTGATTTATTATCCTTTATGTAAAAGTAAATTCCATTATATTTAATATAATTAATTAAAGTTATAAATACAATATGTTATTACATACTTTCTGGTTACTCTCTCTCCCATTCATTTTTTTCCTGAAACTACCTCTTGTTGCTTTATGATGAGACCTACTTCCACTGTTTTCTTTTGTATATTCCACAGTTGGTTCTTCCCTTTCAGAATCTGCTAAAAAGTTGTATTTAGGATCTGGTGGTGGTCCTTCTCCCTAAATAATATTTTATTTTCAAAATTTATATTACATAAAAGTAATAAATATTATTACTTATTATTACTTTGTAAGAAATATATACAAATAATATAAATATAAATAATAAACATATAAAACAAATATGTAAAATGAAAACAAGTTTAATACAACAAAAAATTTGAAATAAGTTTTTTTACATACTTGAGAGAAAGAATGAATTTTTTTTCCTTCTCCAATATGAGACTGCAATGTATATTCATGTTTTTCTTTGGTTGATTTTAATTTGATTTTAGGAGAATTTAAAAATTCCGGTGGTTCTTTCCTCTCTGGCCAATCTGTTGATGGTACCATTTGTACCAAAGCATTTAATTTTGCTGCATTTTTTTTATCTTCTTCGACTTCCTAATAGAATAAAAATGATATCATAAAAACATTTATAAAATATATTACAATGTGTCGTTTACAATTAAATTCAAATATTTTAATTTTAATTTTTTAAAATTACACTTCTATGATATTGTTGAAATAAACAAAATACATATTAAACTTATGTTTTGTTATATTATATATGTACATCGTACCTCATATCTCCTTCTAATTTCTTCATTTTGTTGTCGAATTTTATTAATTTTCTCTTCAAGTGCACTAGATGCCATCTGAATATTATAAAAAATATTTAATAAAAAAACATTCTATATTTAATAATTATTTAAAAATTTATAATTATTTATATCAATATATTTTAACATGTTACATTTCAAATTGTCTAAACAATTACTTGCTTTCCCTTTTATTTAAATCCTTTAAAAATTGATCTTGAATGTTTTATTTCAATTACATTACAAAAAGATAATTGCTTATATCCATGTTAATTTATTAAGATTATTAAGATTATTACGATTAAATATCTTAAATATTAAAGTAGATATTCATGTTACTTTTTATTGTTTTATTTCGAAAGGAACTTCATTTCCGAATTTGGTATCCAACAAATTAATATTGGAACTATGATATGCAATTTATTGCATAAAAAAAATTTTATTTTATATTCTTTATACCCTTTTACTTTACACACGAGAAAATAGTTTATAATCATGCATATTTTATTAATGAGAAATCTTAAATCATCCCTTATAACCTTCTAACTAATCTCCAGTACTTTAATTTAAAATCGATTAAAACATTTTTGGGGTATAGGAAGGTCTGATTTTTTCAAAGATGAATCTATTTATATATAGATATTTATATATATGCTCATCAATTTACATAAATTAAAGAATTCAACGCAATCACAAATTTCTGTGAATGTTCAGCACATTAATAAGACTATCATTTATGTAGAAATAGGTTATATGAATATATAATTGCTTTGTTTAAAATGTAAAAATGAAATAAATTTAATATAAAATATAATAACGATATTGAAAAAATAAACAAAACGTACGGCTACAAGTAGCTGTAAACAGTATCAGGAAAAAAAAATTAGAACATCACGAAAGAGCGTTACGTTGCTTCAATTAAAAATGAGCCACATATGTCACTGTTGAGCACTACCCTTATTTTTCCTAAGAGGAACACATTGACACTATACGATATTCACGGACATTCTCAATGTGAATAAGAAAATTATTAGTGTGTGGTTCCAGTGACTTTCATTGCATTCTTTATGCTTTATTGTTTATAAAACAATTCGTTATACTGAATTTTTTGAAGTCCATAAAGTTATACACTTGTTAATTAAATATTAAATAAAAACATTTTTAATGAATACTTAAATAACATACACGAATGTTTAAACAATATGAAAATATTATATATCTTACTCTAATTATAAAATACAAAGATGAGAAAAAAGTTATTTTACATATCTACTGCTGTTAATTTATTAATATAATTTTTTAATTACGTTAATATTATGTATTTTTTTAAATTTTATGAAATATATATCTGCTTGATAGTTTATATAAATCTTAAATGAGCACCACTGTTATAGTTGGTCATGCGCAAGCATGTAAATTCTTTTCTTCGGTATTCTGCGGTGGTCAAATATCTAATAGTGTTTGTATTCTGCTATATAATTATTAGTTGATTATAGAAAATTGTGAAACTATGAAAGACCGAAATTCCAAATTGTCTTCCAGTCTCAAGAAGCTGTGCTGTTTTGAGTGTCATATTCATTGCAAAGTATAACCTAATACATCAAATTTGTAAACATTGAAAATAAAATACTAGTTGGACAGTTTTAATAAAGAAATTGCCGTGTAAAACATTTAGGAATCATTCCTTTGGAAATGAAAATAACGAAATCTACAGTAATTTTCTTGATTTTTGTATTAATGTTGTCGATATTTGTAGCAAATGTTGCTGATCTGATCAATGTTGATAATCATGTATTAGATGATACTTTACATAACGGAGATATGAAAAAAGAATGGTCAGATCCAAAATTTTATAATATCGGAACATCATTCGAGCATTTAATGTGGTTTTTGCAGGTTTGTATTTTGTAAACAAGATCATTTATTTATTTACAAATTATATGTAAATAATTTATGTTATATTTTTCATTAATTAATTTCTAAGTCAATTAAATCATCATTTACTGAATTTCAATTATTTTTAGATATCAGATATACATATAAGTATATTTCAAGATCCATTTAGGATAACAGAATTAAAGGAATTTTGTAATATTACTGTGGGTACTATTAAGCCTTATGTTGTACTTGCTTCAGGTAAATTTTATTTAGCATTAATAATATTTCTTTTATAAAATGATCTCTTTTATTAAAATAATGTAATGGTCAAACAGGAGATCTTACAGATGCAAAAGCCAAAGATAAAATGGGATCAAAACAAATATTAGAAGAATGGCAATATTATAAACGTGTTTTAGATGATACTGAAGTTAGTAAAAAAACTCTATGGTTAGATGTGAGAGGCAATCATGGTAATAATTAAATATCATTATAAATTATTAAAATTTTATATAATGGAAGTTATTATATTTGACAGTAAATATTGCACATTTGCACTATAAAAATTCATGAAATGAAAGAAAAAATTTAATATTTATGTATAATGCATGGAATATATTTTAAATTCTATTTTTCATTAAAAGAGTTTACATTATACATAATTATATATGACAGTACATAATATTTATAAGTATAAAAACTTATTTATACAACATTATTTAAATATATTTCAGATAATTTTAATGTATTAACTCTTGAGTCAAAAAACAATTATTATTCAAACTATTCTATTCAAGGAAAAAAGCACCCAAGATCTTATATGTATACCATAAATGTTGGTTCTAAATTATATACATTTATTGCAATAGATGCTTGCTTGAAACCTGGTCCCAGAAGACCATTCAATTTTGTTGGCATGTTAGATGAGCATGAAATTAAAAGTATATACAATTTAGTAAATAAATCCAAGGATAATAACGCAGATTTTATAATATGGTTTGGTCATTATCCTACTTCCTGCATACTATCGCAAACTAATATCAGCATTAGAAATATTATAGGTAATATTTAATAAAATATTTATTTCTACTTATTTTATATGTACATCTAAATGTTTAAGATCTTTAATATATTTTATAAATTTTTCAACAATAAAAAAATTTAATTTTTAAATAGAAACATTTCAAAAGCAAAAAATAGATATGTAAACTATTTACAAAAATAGTCTTGATTAATAGGAGCACAACATGTATTATGTACATCTGATAGCAAAGAAATTAGATTATATGTTATATATATTATTCACTAATGAAAAATTAAATTATTTTTTATTTTATTTTAAATTCGTTGTACTCATTGCAGTACAATTTAAAAAGAAAATTTTAATTGTCTTTAATTTGTTTAGAATGATTCTAATTAATGAATAAATGAGCCCAAAAATTTTGAATGCATCCTATATTGTTATAAGAACATTACTTTCAAAAGTATTTTATAACACTTTTAGGCAGACATAGAGAAAGTATGGTATATCTTTGCGGACATTATCACATGCTTGGTGGAACAGTACCTAATATGTACACGCTACAACAAACAGGTTTCCTTGAACTAGAGTTAGCAGATTGGAAAGATAACAGAATGTAAAGTATTTGTCCATATCTGTCATAAAAATTCGTAAAATTATTATTAAACTTTTATTTAATATTATAAATGAGTATACATATATTTATCTATATTATTATATTATAAATAATTGTAATATTTATTTAAAAAAAAAATTAAATAATTTTTTATATTTATTTTTAGGTATCGTTTAGGAGCAATAGATCATGGTCAATTTTCTTTTATTGATATAAAACACAAAGAATGGCCTGTAGTACTAATTACTAATCCTAAACATGCTTTATACACAATGCCCAGGAAAGAAAATATAATGTCTATTATTAAATCTACACACATTAGGTAAACCTTTTTTTACAACACAATATATTTATTTTCTCTTATTTAAAAATTGTATACTCTTGATTTTTATTATTACATAATACTTTTTTTTTTTATAGGATATTGGCATTCTCTGTAGCATTGATAAAAATTGTTCAGGTCCAATTAGATGACAAAGCTTGGCTTGAGTGTGAACATGTTAAAGGACCACTTTATGTTTTGAGATGGAACACAACTGACTACAGAGAGGGAATACATACTATTCGAGTTTAGTAAAATATGTTCAGTTATATTTATGCTAATTTTTTTTTTAATGAAATTTTAATGAAAATTTTAATGAATTACTATTTAATTATAATGATTTTCTGTAATCATTCTCTGCTAATATTATATGACAGTTTAATTACTGAAAAGTAATAATAAGAAAATTAATTGTAGGTGAAGGTTATAGACATAGATGGAAGAGAAGCAATAGTATTTCAGCCATTTGCTCTTGATGGGTCACGTTTATCATTTCGCATTTTACCTAGATTTATACTTATGTCTAATGTCAGTAGCATTGTAAGTAATATGGTATATTATAAAATTGCTACACGTTTTTATAAAACTGTATATTAATATGATTTTTTTTCTTATCCAGTTCCAATTTTTGTTTGGCACAGTATTACTTTTATTGGTAATTCCATTATGTTTGCTTCGTTTCTTTCATATATTATGTGAAAGTAAGTAAATTACAAAATATGCTTATTAGTATAAAATTCAAAATTGAAATTGAAATGTTTCTCTAACTAGGGAAGCAAATGCACCGACCAAGATTCAGAATAAAATTTTTTCATTCATGGTTTAGAAAATTGTGGATATTATCTACTGTTGATCGTCTATTTTTTCCATTAGTACTATATGCATTATACTTAACAATTGGTAAGCAATAAATATCTTCTGAGTCAGAGAAATCATCATATAAAACAGTAAAAAAATAAGTATTTTAAAAGTATATTTGTTGTATTTTAAAATTTTTGACATGTATAATATTACTAGCTTTAGTTCTAAAATAGAAGATGAGCTAATTTTATAAAAAAAAAATATGTATTTTTAAGGTCCATGGGCAGTTGGTGAAGTAATAGAAAATCAAACAGGCATAATTTTTGCTTGGGGGACATTTATAGGAAATTCTTTTTTGCCTGGTGCCTTTACTTACGCTTATGGATTTTTTCAATTATTTTCCTTCCATTTACCACTAATGTTAATCTTAGCTAATAGAGTGGATAAGCGGTAAGATAAAATATATAAATTAAATGAATAACACTATGTACATATGATTAAAAAGTTAAATAATTTTATAGATTACAAAATATTAAACCAAATGGTAAACCATTATCTAAGATATGTTTTTTCTTACAATACTTACCAATAACGCTATTAATTATGATGCAAACCTGTATGGCTTATTTCTTCTGGTTAGCATATGGAACATTAGCTACCATATTATGTCCTTTACGCACTTGGAGTATTTTTTTAGCAATAATCTTATGGCATCAAGTAGATACAATGCCGTATTTTTGTCTAAGGTGCGTATTATAGAAGAATTTAAATATCTTACACAATGTAAATTACTTATCCTTTTTTAGTTATTTCTGTATAATAATTTTATATAATAACTTAACATATAAGTTCAGTAATTTCCTGATAAATGATCGCAAAATTCATTTACTCGTGATTAATTAACTTGGGTAAGATATCATTTTTTATGAGATTCTGTGAAATGAATAACTAATTATGTTACACAGATAATGTTTATACTAACTCAAAATAAAATAAAGGAAATCTTACAAACTATGAAATCTTAACCGAGAATAAATGTGATCATTTATCTAAGAATTAGTATATATGATAAAAGTTTATTACTAACTACATAAGTAGATTACTAAAATAGTAAATAAGTAGATTACTAAGAAATATTACTAAACATAGATAATTATTAGTTTTTTGTTATCTTTTCTATTCATACTAATTATGATTTTTTTTATTATAAAGGTCTGCTGCAAAAGTATGGTCTCCTCTTGGTTAATTTATAAAAGGTACAATAACTTACTATGAAAGTGTAGCAATTTAATACTCATTATTTTGCATAGATAAAAAATTCTCACACTCTTATGTGCTTATTAGTAAATTTGTAACCATATATATGTATATTTTTTTATTAATTTCTTATATAGAGTAAGTTTAATAACTGGGTTGGGTTGTGCCCTGGTTCATATTGAAGATAGAAAAAGATAGTAGAGAAAAATATTTGTATTGTATGACAAGTGCTGTTATCAAATAATGCAACCTTTTTCAGGGTTGTATTAGTGCAATTACAATGTACATTATACTTGTTTTCTAAATGGCATTCTAAAATCTTTTTTTTGTATAATTGTTGTTTAATCTGATTCTTTGTATTTCTTCTACATTAAGAATATTAGGGTACCATGACAAAAAGTTAATACTTTATAAGATGTTTAACTTTTTATTAATATTTACAATAAATTTTTAAATATGCAAATAACATTGCATACTTGAAAATAGTCACATTACATGATGATAGACTTCATCAAATAGTATCAAATTGTCCCTTACAATCTTTTCCTATCTTCAGTAGTTACAAAGATATGGCTCAGCTAAGTTACTGGATTCACTCTGCATAATCAATTTTAAAATGTTAGAAATTTGTTTCTTGTTTAATAAATATAAAATATTAAATTCATTATACATCAGGATTAGCTACAACAAATTTATCTAGATTAAATATAAGACAGTGAAGATTTTGTTGTTTATGCTATTTAAATGAATTTTAAATAATTGTGATTGTTATTTATAATTGTATATTACAATTAATGAGTTCCTTTAATAAGTGCCACAAAGTTTACCAGTTTATAGAGTTATGGCAAAGACTGTTAATATTTATTACACATTTAATAATATATGTTAATTCATTTCAATGATTTATGTGTGCTCGAATGTTCCTTTTTAAATTTGTAATTTAAAAATGTGTGTTCTTAACAATTAATTTAGAAACTTCTTATAATTATCTCTTTCTTTTAAGCCTTTGACTTGTTTCAAAATATTATATTACTTTTAACAATAATTCATGTGCTTCCATATGGCTTTTTAGTTTACAAAAGTATTGTAAAAAACATTTTATAAGGGGATTAATGCAATATAAGAAGAAAGTATAATTATTTAAGTATTTTTATTTTATATTTTAATCCACTATGAATGTAATTATATACACTAATATATCCAGCTAAGTTTCATCTCTATGATGAAAAATTAATTTCATTAAAAATCACAAGTAATATAATTAAAATGGAGAATTTGACTGTTTTCTATTCATATTATGTATTATTTTTCCAGTGAGAGATAGACTTAATTTTTTAATTGTGGATACCCTCAATAACTCTGTATGTTATTTATATTGTATGATTATATTCTGTTTCGGATATTTAAGGTTGATAGGAAAAATACAAAACAATATGGAAAAATTGATATTCTTTTAAAACACAAATCAGTATTTCATTAGAAAATAGATTTTATTGCTATCCTATATTTTTCTACAAACTATCTAATTGTTATTGTTCTTAACATCTTATGATCTCAGAACTATAAATGTGATCTCAGTAGACTAATGATTCCCAGTCATTGATAATCACAAATTTCTTCCATAAATATATCAAATTATTCTTAAAAAACCTAAAAAGTACAGTTAAAAGTTTATGTTACTAAATTGCAAAACCTCATTATTCATAAGTATTTGAGTATGTTAATTCATAATATAAATACACCTTTTAATAACTATACTGCCTATTTTTTTTTTAGTTTTTCTTGTTTCTTAATATTTTAAAATACTAGATAATGATTTTAATAATTTTCAAAAGTTTAAGATATTTATGAAATTAATGATTATTGGGAATCATAATTAATTTAGTTACATCATAAAGTATATTTAATGTATTTTGTAAATTGCTACAAAGAAAATGAGAAACAGTGTTATTTTCAAATATTTAATGCATAGTATAAAGTATACTCTTAATCACTTAACTGGTAAAAAATACTCTACATATGTACAATTCATATATAAGGAATGCAAACAATGCATGTAAGTGTTAATAAATGTTATACATAGCTTGAGTAATTTTTAATTCAATCTTTATTAATCATCTCAAATTTTATTTTCATCTATGTCTATGTATTTTACATAAATTTCTTTTTGTAATTTATCATAAAAAACATTATTATATAAAACTCGAGATAAATTGTAACCTTCACGGCTGATTATAATTTAATTCACATATATATATCTAATATCTTTGTGACTTTAATGAAAATTGCAAAATTAAAATCATGACAATCATTGAAAAATTTTGCAATACATACTATATCTAATAATTTATCTATCTTTTAAAATGATATAAAACACAAAGAATGGCCTGTAGTACTAATTACTAATCCTAAACATGCTTTATACACAATGCCCAGGAAAGAAAATATAATGTCTATTATTAAATCTACACACATTAGGTAAACCTTTTTTTACAACACAATATATTTATTTTCTCTTATTTAAAAATTGTATACTCTTGATTTTTATTATTACATAATACTTTTTTTTTTTATAGGATATTGGCATTCTCTGTAGCATTGATAAAAATTGTTCAGGTCCAATTAGATGACAAAGCTTGGCTTGAGTGTGAACATGTTAAAGGACCACTTTATGTTTTGAGATGGAACACAACTGACTACAGAGAGGGAATACATACTATTCGAGTTTAGTAAAATATGTTCAGTTATATTTATGCTAATTTTTTTTTTAATGAAATTTTAATGAAAATTTTAATGAATTACTATTTAATTATAATGATTTTCTGTAATCATTCTCTGCTAATATTATATGACAGTTTAATTACTGAAAAGTAATAATAAGAAAATTAATTGTAGGTGAAGGTTATAGACATAGATGGAAGAGAAGCAATAGTATTTCAGCCATTTGCTCTTGATGGGTCACGTTTATCATTTCGCATTTTACCTAGATTTATACTTATGTCTAATGTCAGTAGCATTGTAAGTAATATGGTATATTATAAAATTGCTACACGTTTTTATAAAACTGTATATTAATATGATTTTTTTTCTTATCCAGTTCCAATTTTTGTTTGGCACAGTATTACTTTTATTGGTAATTCCATTATGTTTGCTTCGTTTCTTTCATATATTATGTGAAAGTAAGTAAATTACAAAATATGCTTATTAGTATAAAATTCAAAATTGAAATTGAAATGTTTCTCTAACTAGGGAAGCAAATGCACCGACCAAGATTCAGAATAAAATTTTTTCATTCATGGTTTAGAAAATTGTGGATATTATCTACTGTTGATCGTCTATTTTTTCCATTAGTACTATATGCATTATACTTAACAATTGGTAAGCAATAAATATCTTCTGAGTCAGAGAAATCATCATATAAAACAGTAAAAAAATAAGTATTTTAAAAGTATATTTGTTGTATTTTAAAATTTTTGACATGTATAATATTACTAGCTTTAGTTCTAAAATAGAAGATGAGCTAATTTTATAAAAAAAAAATATGTATTTTTAAGGTCCATGGGCAGTTGGTGAAGTAATAGAAAATCAAACAGGCATAATTTTTGCTTGGGGGACATTTATAGGAAATTCTTTTTTGCCTGGTGCCTTTACTTACGCTTATGGATTTTTTCAATTATTTTCCTTCCATTTACCACTAATGTTAATCTTAGCTAATAGAGTGGATAAGCGGTAAGATAAAATATATAAATTAAATGAATAACACTATGTACATATGATTAAAAAGTTAAATAATTTTATAGATTACAAAATATTAAACCAAATGGTAAACCATTATCTAAGATATGTTTTTTCTTACAATACTTACCAATAACGCTATTAATTATGATGCAAACCTGTATGGCTTATTTCTTCTGGTTAGCATATGGAACATTAGCTACCATATTATGTCCTTTACGCACTTGGAGTATTTTTTTAGCAATAATCTTATGGCATCAAGTAGATACAATGCCGTATTTTTGTCTAAGGTGCGTATTATAGAAGAATTTAAATATCTTACACAATGTAAATTACTTATCCTTTTTTAGTTATTTCTGTATAATAATTTTATATAATAACTTAACATATAAGTTCAGTAATTTCCTGATAAATGATCGCAAAATTCATTTACTCGTGATTAATTAACTTGGGTAAGATATCATTTTTTATGAGATTCTGTGAAATGAATAACTAATTATGTTACACAGATAATGTTTATACTAACTCAAAATAAAATAAAGGAAATCTTACAAACTATGAAATCTTAACCGAGAATAAATGTGATCATTTATCTAAGAATTAGTATATATGATAAAAGTTTATTACTAACTACATAAGTAGATTACTAAAATAGTAAATAAGTAGATTACTAAGAAATATTACTAAACATAGATAATTATTAGTTTTTTGTTATCTTTTCTATTCATACTAATTATGATTTTTTTTATTATAAAGGTCTGCTGCAAAAGTATGGTCTCCTCTTGGTTAATTTATAAAAGGTACAATAACTTACTATGAAAGTGTAGCAATTTAATACTCATTATTTTGCATAGATAAAAAATTCTCACACTCTTATGTGCTTATTAGTAAATTTGTAACCATATATATGTATATTTTTTTATTAATTTCTTATATAGAGTAAGTTTAATAACTGGGTTGGGTTGTGCCCTGGTTCATATTGAAGATAGAAAAAGATAGTAGAGAAAAATATTTGTATTGTATGACAAGTGCTGTTATCAAATAATGCAACCTTTTTCAGGGTTGTATTAGTGCAATTACAATGTACATTATACTTGTTTTCTAAATGGCATTCTAAAATCTTTTTTTTGTATAATTGTTGTTTAATCTGATTCTTTGTATTTCTTCTACATTAAGAATATTAGGGTACCATGACAAAAAGTTAATACTTTATAAGATGTTTAACTTTTTATTAATATTTACAATAAATTTTTAAATATGCAAATAACATTGCATACTTGAAAATAGTCACATTACATGATGATAGACTTCATCAAATAGTATCAAATTGTCCCTTACAATCTTTTCCTATCTTCAGTAGTTACAAAGATATGGCTCAGCTAAGTTACTGGATTCACTCTGCATAATCAATTTTAAAATGTTAGAAATTTGTTTCTTGTTTAATAAATATAAAATATTAAATTCATTATACATCAGGATTAGCTACAACAAATTTATCTAGATTAAATATAAGACAGTGAAGATTTTGTTGTTTATGCTATTTAAATGAATTTTAAATAATTGTGATTGTTATTTATAATTGTATATTACAATTAATGAGTTCCTTTAATAAGTGCCACAAAGTTTACCAGTTTATAGAGTTATGGCAAAGACTGTTAATATTTATTACACATTTAATAATATATGTTAATTCATTTCAATGATTTATGTGTGCTCGAATGTTCCTTTTTAAATTTGTAATTTAAAAATGTGTGTTCTTAACAATTAATTTAGAAACTTCTTATAATTATCTCTTTCTTTTAAGCCTTTGACTTGTTTCAAAATATTATATTACTTTTAACAATAATTCATGTGCTTCCATATGGCTTTTTAGTTTACAAAAGTATTGTAAAAAACATTTTATAAGGGGATTAATGCAATATAAGAAGAAAGTATAATTATTTAAGTATTTTTATTTTATATTTTAATCCACTATGAATGTAATTATATACACTAATATATCCAGCTAAGTTTCATCTCTATGATGAAAAATTAATTTCATTAAAAATCACAAGTAATATAATTAAAATGGAGAATTTGACTGTTTTCTATTCATATTATGTATTATTTTTCCAGTGAGAGATAGACTTAATTTTTTAATTGTGGATACCCTCAATAACTCTGTATGTTATTTATATTGTATGATTATATTCTGTTTCGGATATTTAAGGTTGATAGGAAAAATACAAAACAATATGGAAAAATTGATATTCTTTTAAAACACAAATCAGTATTTCATTAGAAAATAGATTTTATTGCTATCCTATATTTTTCTACAAACTATCTAATTGTTATTGTTCTTAACATCTTATGATCTCAGAACTATAAATGTGATCTCAGTAGACTAATGATTCCCAGTCATTGATAATCACAAATTTCTTCCATAAATATATCAAATTATTCTTAAAAAACCTAAAAAGTACAGTTAAAAGTTTATGTTACTAAATTGCAAAACCTCATTATTCATAAGTATTTGAGTATGTTAATTCATAATATAAATACACCTTTTAATAACTATACTGCCTATTTTTTTTTTAGTTTTTCTTGTTTCTTAATATTTTAAAATACTAGATAATGATTTTAATAATTTTCAAAAGTTTAAGATATTTATGAAATTAATGATTATTGGGAATCATAATTAATTTAGTTACATCATAAAGTATATTTAATGTATTTTGTAAATTGCTACAAAGAAAATGAGAAACAGTGTTATTTTCAAATATTTAATGCATAGTATAAAGTATACTCTTAATCACTTAACTGGTAAAAAATACTCTACATATGTACAATTCATATATAAGGAATGCAAACAATGCATGTAAGTGTTAATAAATGTTATACATAGCTTGAGTAATTTTTAATTCAATCTTTATTAATCATCTCAAATTTTATTTTCATCTATGTCTATGTATTTTACATAAATTTCTTTTTGTAATTTATCATAAAAAACATTATTATATAAAACTCGAGATAAATTGTAACCTTCACGGCTGATTATAATTTAATTCACATATATATATCTAATATCTTTGTGACTTTAATGAAAATTGCAAAATTAAAATCATGACAATCATTGAAAAATTTTGCAATACATACTATATCTAATAATTTATCTATCTTTTAAAAGTATATGTTTTTATTATCTAAAATTGGTTTGGAATATTTTATTTTTTTAATACTATAATCTTCAGTTTAGAGATAATACTAAAATTTTCGCAGGTAATTAGAGTCTAATAAAATAGAAAAATTACTTCTATTTAATAACATCATAAATAAGAACGTCATATAGACACAAACTACATTTGTCTATAATATTAAGTTCTACGATTTTTAATTATAGATGATCCAAAAATTCTTTTACTTTCTCTCAAGATCAATTTTTGTGTCATACAGTATCATAAGATGTTAGATGAAGATTGTATCTTATATGTATTTTAATATGGAAAGTATTAAATTATTGATACCAATTTTGAATTGTATATGATTTTATTAATAACATTAACACACAAACATAATATTGCGTTTAACAAATGTATTCATATTGCAATTTTTTACTACACATTGTAATATGTAACAAGAATTTATTCCAGTAATGAAAACAGAGATTAACAAAAAAGTTAATTATAATATAAATATTTTTTAAATCTAAGCCACCTTTATTAATATATCTAAATTAATTATTAATTATTTAAATTAAATAGTAATTGAAATTTCGGAGATACTTATTTACATACAATTTTAATCATTTTTAAAATAATAAAAATAAAAGGAAATTATGTTTTTCCAAAATTAAATGGATTTTTTTATAAATTTTACCAAGATTTAGAATAAAATTATATTTAATTCTACTAAAACCGTTAATTATAATTCCATTGGAAATTGTTATTGAATTTTAAGCATTGTACACAATTTTTATCTAGTGTGATTTCTCCTTAAAATGTTAGGGTTTTCCATCGTTCGGTTGCCTAGGTAGCCACAGCGACGAAATATGTTTAGCGTAAACAAATTGGTTTTGTGAGAAATTGAATTATTTTCTAGAAATTATTCGCATGTGACACTTCTCATTAACGCACATAGGCAATATGACATCTTTAGATTTAAGACAACAAAAACTCGAACAACAGGTATGCATATAATAGTTATAAATATTTTTTCATACCATAATTTTAAATGATTTAATTTTTATTTAAATTATAAAATTAAAATTAAAAATTAAATTCAGTAATTACTTACATGAGTTACAATGTATAAATTATTTTAAATTTTATATGTATTAATGATATTAAAATTACTTTTTGAATTCATGTTATTAATATTTCTCACTGATAAATTATTATTAAGAATTATTCTATTAATTTTATAAAGTATTTATTATTATAATAATTACATAATCAATCACAGAGACAATTAATTGCGCAAAAGATGAAACAAAAACGACAAAGTGGTGCTGGTGGTATGGTACAGGCATCTAATATATCAAGCACACAGCTTACAAGTCATTCTACAAAATGGATGAATCCAAATAAAGAGCTACGTGGTAAGTTTAAAAAATTAGGAAATCCAGTTTTATTAAAATATAAATGTTTATGTAAAAATTATTTTCATTTTAGGATATGATGGGCCATTACAGTTTAATATATCACAAACAAATCAAGATTTAAACACATTTGTAGAAAATAAGGATATGGAAGCAAGAATCAATGGTATATAATAAGTAAATGGTTAATTTAATTTAATTAGAATTATAAAAGGTACAATATTGTTGGTTTATTGTCATAGAAGAAAGTACAGAGGGTAGCTTTTATCAAACTATGGAAGCTACTGATTGTGCAGATGAAGAATCATCACCTATAGACATACATTCACCCTCAGAATCATTACCATGTTCTTCACCTCTCAGAGTAACTCCATCGGATGGTGCTGGTACATTTATTAGTAGAGAAAATAATTCTTCGGTAAGATTTCCTTTTTATTTACTGTGTATCAATGCTAAATTATTAAAATGATTAATGATTTGAAAACTAAAATATATCTCATCTATTTAGAGTCCAGAATTAGAAGGAAATGTGGAAGGGAACATAGAACATTTTGTTTTACAACCAGCAAATAAAAAAATGCATTATAAATGTAGAATAACACGTGATAGGAAGGGTATGGATCGTGGTCTTTATCCAACATATTTTTTACATTTAGAACGTGATTATGGAAAAAAGGTATGTGATTTTTTAAAGGGATTATACAAAAAACAAAATGAGGATAATATTATATTTTTATTTACAGATTTTCTTATTGGCTGGGCGTAAAAGGAAAAAAAGTACAACAAGTAATTATTTAATTTCTACTGATCCCACAGATCTTTCAAGAGCAGGAGAGTCTTATATTGGAAAATTAAGATCGAATCTTCTGGGAACACAATTTACTGTATATGATAATGGATATTCATTAATGAAGGACGATAAACGAGATGATCGTTTTAACCCGAGACAAGAGTTAGCTGCAGTGATATACGATACTAACGTTTTAGGATTCAAAGGCCCACGTAAAATGACCGTTATTATTCCGGGGATGACCTCAGATCAGAAAAGAGTTGAAATTTATCCACGTGATGAATCAGAAACGTTACTTGGTATGTATAAAGTTATTTTAGTGTAGATATTATTGAAACATTATCTTTATCTTTATTCCTCCTGCTTCTTTAGAACGATGGAAAACAAAAAATATGGACAATTTAATAGAATTACATAATAAGACTCCTGTATGGAATGATGATACACAATCGTATGTACTTAATTTCCATGGACGTGTGACCCAAGCTTCTGTTAAAAATTTTCAAGTGGTACATGATAGTGATGGTCTGTATTTTATTCATTTTGCTTAAGACGTTATTTTAGTCTGAAGGATTTAAAAAATCAATTTTTGTATTTCTATATATTAAAATGAAATTTGTAAATGTTCTTTTTATGCATTTAATATACAAATTTTTAATTAATGTAGGATTGGAATGAGTACGGTCTTGAAGGAGTGTTTGGACTTAGAATAAAGGTATCCGCGCGCAAGAGGATCGAATGGATGTGTATGACAGAGGCAAGTGCGATAGATTAGTGGAAATTTATGAGTGCGTCGTGTGTTTGAAGTACCTGGCCCACCGAGGTTGCGGGGAAAGGGGCATGATTGGGAAGGAAAACCTGAGTATGAAAAAGGATAGAATGAATGGTTTAAATAAGAGTGCAAGGGCGTGGGCGAGTCAGTCTAAGACAGTTTCAATCAAAGAAAGTGTGCCAAAGATAGTGTGTCAAAATCTAAGAGTGAGTGTGCAAGGACGGTTTTTAAAGACAGTCTATCAGTTATAGTCAATCAGTTACAGTTTTGAAAGTCAGTTTATAAGAGTCTGTTTTAAGAAAGATCAGAAGGGCGTATCCATAGCGAATTTCTTGTTTCATAGCTAGCCGCCGTCATTCTATTTATAAGCTTATTTTATTCTATTAAGAAGCCAACAATACTATCTTAAGTCAATTCCACTCAAACACGATCCCACATTAATATAAAATTAAAAATTAGCGGTGTAATCGTGTCAGAGACTATTCGTTTATTCGATTTGTTGTTTTACACATGTGGAAAATAAATATCTGACAAACATTGAAAAATTAATACTAAAACAAGAACCTATACTTTAAAGGACTTCTGATACTTTCTTTTATCAAATGTTAGCCTATGTTAATCAAAAAACATTTGAATCATTTAATTTGTTTAATAAAAGTTTAATTTTTACCATTCAATTTATTCAGAGATTTCAGAGTTTAGCTGATAATCTATAATAAATCTAATCTGATAAATTATAATTAGTTAAAACATGTAAAAATTAAAATGTTTAATAACTATATTTTTTATATACCAAAGATTGAATCAAAAATAATCTTTTAGACTAAAATATCCTCTTGAATTTAAATTTAAATTTTGAAAATTATTTTCTAACTTTGTTTTAGTTGATTATGTTGTTATGCAATTTGGCCGTGTGGCAGAAGATGTTTTCACAATGGATTATAGGTTTCCATTGTGCACACTTCAAGCATTCGCTATCGCTTTAAGCAGCTTTGATAGTAAGTTAGCCTGTGAATAATATAATTCATAATTGAATGTAAAAATGATCTGTGGATGGTAAACAATGTTGTTTGAAAGAATCTGCAATGGACAATCAATAGATTGCAATGTTGTTTTTTACGAACATATCCATGATAATAACTATTTAATTGAAATCTCTTGATATAAGGATAATCAGTATAAATTGTGTGTTCACTTTTCTTATATATGGAAAATGTTTTTAAATGCTAAACATATATCTTGTAATTGTATTGCGCTCAGGCATTAAAATAGTAGCTATAATTGTATCATCATTAATCCTAATTCATTGTACTATAGTGTGCAGTTTGATTTGTACTACACATGCAAGATTCTACTAGTAAATAATATTTATGAATGACAAATAATTTGTGGGAAAGAGATAATCTGACTGCATATGACTGCAAAGAATTATACTTCAAAATTTGTTATTTATATTTCATTGAAGATTTACTCATTTATTTAGTATTAGAAATACTTCAAACTGTGTTTATTTAATTAAATTTCAGATACCTACACAATTCACATTTTGGTATTATCATAAATATACTTTTACGTAAACAATATCTTACATGCTCAAAGATAACACATTAAATGTACAGTAATAATATTGATACACTGCACAATTTACTGCCTAAACAGATGATAATGAATCTTCGTATCACAAGAGTATGCAGTATATATTAAATTGTTTTTATGCTATAGAGTTTTGCTTGAAGAATTCAAGCTCATTTTATTATTCACAATAATGAAAAAAAAATCACACAGACTTATGTAAATTTGATGTGATTTTGAAAAGTAAGATAAAGAATATTGCCTGTATTGTTTCTTAAAATTGATTTATTTGCAAATAGAGTGTTATATAATTTATTACTTTTATGTAGAAATGTTTTATCTTATAAAATAATATCACAAATGATAAATATAATTTTTGTTTATACAAAATAATATTATGCACAGCCTTTATTGCATAATTTTATTATGAGGGAAATCTTTTGACATCTAAGTGCACTGATCAAAAATATTGATAAAATGGACTAATCACGATCTCTGTATATATTGTATTAATTACTGTCTAAAAATATCATTTAAAATACATACCACATATTTGTATTTGGTATGTAATTTATTATTCAATATGTTCATTTTATCATTAACATAAAATTCTTCACGTTTATAAAAATACCAAAGATATGTTGATACTCATATACAAAGTAGAATGAATTTATTGAAACACTTATGAAAATATTTTAATATTGTACTATTATATAATATCATTTGCATATTAAAGAATTGTAAACATAAATTGAAAATATTCATTTTATTAAAAATATTTATTTGATTAAATCTTTGTCTATGAAATCAAGATCTATGAGTATCAAAACAATGTATGATAATTTCTTAAATAAATTTTTATAAAATGCACAATTGATCGTTATGATCATGCACTATTTTCGTTAAACACAAAAGATAAACTTTATTATTATTTTAAAATTGATATAGTCATTTATTAGTATGTTTTATTCAACTTTAAATTGGTATATATGATATTAAATGTTTATATATAAAGTAAAATAAGATAAAACAACAAAAAGTGAAATAAAAAGAAAACATTAAATTGCAAAACATTGTAACATGTCACAGAAATGTTAAAAGAAATTTGTAACTTTATAAATTTTATACTTTTTAAATTTTGTTTGTAAAAAATATATATTTTATATATTTTATCAAAAAAAAAAAAAAAAAAAAAAAAAATTTGTCAAAATAGAAAAAGAAAGACCATTTTAGATACCATATAATTAATCAGTATTAATATTATTTAGAATGCCAATTGGACATTTTATAAGTGTAATATTTCATACTCAATTTATTTTTTACTTTGATAATGTAAGTATCAAAACATATTTAAAGTATAGTGATACCATTTTAACTGTGTACATGGTATGCGCGCGCGTATGTATTATAAAATGAAATATGTAATTAGCTTATCACATTTAATGTTGTAAATCAAAGTGTTCAATGAGTATTATATTTTCACTAATCAGCTACAAATAAATACTGATTGTAACTTTTTATGAATTGTTGTCAGACCCATAACTTAACTAAATCTGAAAGAAATAAAAACAAATTTAGGTAAAATAATTTTATATAAAATTAATTCTTTAAAAAACAGTACAAAATTATGATTTCTGGTCCAGAAGAAATGAAAAACAGTCAAGATTTATCACTATAACATTTATTATTATAGATTTTAATAGAAAAAGATCACATGAAATTTTTACATCAATACTGAATAATAAGATTAGTGAGCAGATATTATTTCTCTTATTTTGAATGTATAAAAAGAGTTCTTTTGTATCGAAATACAATAAAGGCACTTAAGGTCTAACATTTAAAAATATAAATAAAGAATATAACATGACTATCACTTTTATGTTTATTTACAATGTGAAAACAACTTTTCAAATTTTTTCTATAAATATTCATTTAATCAAAAAAAGAAATGGTAGGGAAATACTATTCAAAAATCTTATTCTTGTTGTTCATCTTTATACTAAATATATTGTTATTTTTATTATTGTTTTATTCTTATCAGTGTTTCCCTTTATGCTTTTGTTGTCATTTATTAAAAATATTATCTAAATTTAAATCATATAAAACTAGACCTTTTGATGTTTTCTCTTTTTTTAGATACCTTCATTTATCAGTATACAGAGTTGCCAAATTAATTGCCTAAAATTATCGGCATTTAAAGAATTAACATCTTAAAAATATGATCAAATATATTCTGTATTATATGTCATAAAGTAACTATAAATCCATGCTTGTACCAATACAAATTCAAATATAACGTAACAAGCGCAACGATTCATCATAAAATATGTAGCACTAAAATTCAATGATAAATGGTTAAATTGCAACTATACATATAAAACTGGTGATAATTCTAAAAACCACAGTGATTAATGAGCACTTTATTACTCCTCTTGCTGTTATTGCTCCGAGCGAAGAATTACAGAAGGGAAATGATGAACAGGACTTCAAATATAAGAATATTAATTAATACAAATCGTTCGTAAATTTGGTTGAAAAAAGCAGGAAATATTATTTCATATAAATGTTCTTGTGTATATTTAGAACATTTCTGAAATATCTATATTTAAAGCCTTCTTTAAAATCAAATTCTTTGAAAATAACAGAAATTATTTATTTTGAAAGCTTCAAGACTTCTTCATATCATAGTAGCTCTTTGCAGACAATCTAATTATAACCATTACTTCTTTACCAATTTATTTTTATGGTATCTTGATATTTGATATATTTATCATAGCATATTATTTTATTACTAATTAAAATAATAGTATAACCTGAATTTAATATAGATATATATAAATATAATTTTTAACTGACAAAACACTTTTTTTAATCATTCGTATGTTGTAGGTTTTAATTCCTTGGTATAATGCAATAAATGATGTTTCAGGGCAGAAATGAAATGTACAAAGTATACAATAAACAAATATTTATTGTATACATTGTTTAGTAAGCTCCAAAATGAAAATAAAAATAATATTAAAAGATACTTATGATGCTTAAAACTACAATACAATCTTATTTTTGAAGATTTTTGGTTCGATAACAAAAAATTATTGTCTTTAATTAAGAATAATTATTTTTTTCAAGAAAGAGCTTACTATATTTGTTATCAAATATAAATGAAATATTTTATTATAGATGTTGTAATCTTTCCTTTTTAATTATATTTTCTAATTTCAAATTAATTATACTCTTTACTATTTAATAGAAGATTATTGTAGAATATATCACAAGATATTTCTACAGCATGAAATATTTTATATACAGTTTTAATACGTATGATTAAAATATTTAATTGTCAGTATACAAAGCATATTTTTCGACTTTATTTTAATGTTTAAACAGAATTGTTAAAAATTTTCAGTTTTTAGTAATTAAATCGACAATAACCTTTTTTGTAATATGCAAACAATTTTGTAACTAATTTTTAGTAATTCACACAATTCAAAATATAAAAATTTATAAAATCATAAAAATATTTCACTAATTTTCGTATATTTAAAATTATTCAATTTCAGCTATTTTCAGCAATTTCATATAGAAGCTGATATAAAAGTCATAGCTAAAAATATAATAATTGCAAATCAGCAAGAACTTATGTTCAAATTTAAAATATACAAATATATTGTGTAGAACTAATAATGCACCATAAATTGCTGTATAACTAATTTAATTTAGCACATAAGCCACCTATGTTGAAAATAGTACATCATTTCATTTGATATTATAGTTTTATATATTGTTATAAAAATTGATAAAAATGTATGTAAATCTTATTAAAAATTTAGATTTTATACTTTTCCAAATGTACCTATAACTATGTGTAATAATATTTTTATTTGTTCTATGTTTGGTTTTACTAGTAATTCCCTTTTATGAAAATTAATGCTTTAAATTATTATCATCTTTCTTTGCTTAAATACATTTTTTTGCGAATTTATTCTCTTCTATAATTTATTATTTTTATGGAATGTGAATTCTTTTCCGTAATACTTATATAAAAAAAATTTACTAAATATTTCTTTATCCTTAAATACTTTTTATATCAGTCCACTTTTACTTAAAAGTTTGATATAACTTTCCTTACAATAAATTTTATACAAATGTTAGCCCTGAAAATTTATCTTATAGTTACATACAGCATATTATTGGTATATTATTAATTCTCTAAATGGAATACATGCATCATGCATATATTCTTTTGTTGATCTACAATTCATTTTATATTCAACAACATTTTTGTAAAAAATTATTTTTATATATCTACACATATAAGGGGGTTCATTTCATGCTGCAAATGTAGCAATTCATTTCCATTATATCATTGCATTTTCGCAATAGACTAAAACCATCAATTCAAACTGAAGTATAAGCATTTTATAAATAATTATTGGAAAGATAAAAGTTTGGAGGGGTAATTTTTGGTTTAGAAGATTGCAGCATTTTAAATAAAATAGTTTAAATGAAATTAGGTTAATCAATAAGTAAAAATTTTCAAAGGCTATCGCGAAACATTGTAATTTAAATGTCTTTTAATGAATTTTTTAATACAAAAATTAACCATCAAATTGTTCATGCCAAAAAATATCTTATTTTTAAATTTACTGTTTTCATTATAAACATAAACATATCTGAAAAGGTTGCAAATATGATATAAATTTACTTTTTTATATTTTCCTTGAAAATCTAATAATACTGAATTTTATCATGTTCAAAAAGATTCTCCCTCCAAGACCATAACTTAAAACACTTTTTTATACAAATTACAATATGAATACAGAGTAAATTATGAATATTATTTAAAAACGCATACTATGATTATCAATACGCCCTATAATTTTACATATATCCTCGTTTTATATCACCTTGGATATTTTTTGTTGGCCTGACAAACCTGGGTGCTGGTATGCGTGATGGTGGTCTAGGTATAGCGCTCATAAGATTTGAAGGTCTATTTCCAGTGTTCCAATTCGTTGGTGGTCGTAATCTTGTCTTGTTTTCAACTTTCATAACTGGTTTATTAAAAACCTATATAATTACGTAACATTTGATAAATGATTTAAAAATTAATTTTTAAATAAAATTTATATATGTAAAATGAAAAATAAACTTACTTTAACTTTTTTCACCATGTCTACTTCATTCTGTTGCTTCAATACAGTTTCCATAGAATGACCTTAAAGAAAACAATGTTTATATAATAAAACATAAAAAGAACTACTGTTCAAAAGTTTAGAATTATTATATATTTGGTTATATTATACTTTATATTATACTTTGCTTATATTATACTAACTTACCATCAGTGTTTATTGACTGACTAGATCTCGTGGGACTTAATATTGGAGAACTTGTTTTAACATTAAAATCCATACTCAATGGTGAATCACTATCGCGATTATCAACACCATTCTTTAATATAGGGGAAGGTAAATCTTTTTTTATATCAATCCAAGTATTTTCTACAACTCGCCTATCCAATCGAGATGTTGTATCTTGTTTCAAACCTAATTGAGGTACAATATAATTATATAATATAGTATGTCTTTTATATTAAAATAGTAATATTTTATTAATAGAACATGTAACTCACTTTCTTCCTGCATTCGTACTATCTGATGAAGTTGTTCAATATTCATTGGCTGGGTTGTATATGAATTATGGCTACTGTCTGAACATGTACTGAGTCTATCATCTAAATCAGGTGCACTATGAGCACTTTGAGTACTTTCAATACTTTCTGTAGATCCTCCAGCACCCAACATTTGTAATTCTCCCACACCTGTATTCAATTCTAAGAGTCGTTGTTCAGAGCCACTTTTCATCTTTCCTAAAGAGTATAATTTATTTGCTAAACTTTTTTCAACGTCTCTAACAATGTTTGGCTGTGAACCTTTCATATATCCAACTTTAGATGTATTCGTACATCCTGACATGTTAACAGTTTTCAATGAATTGGATATAAGATTTGGATTAGATTTTTGAAGGAACTGTGGTAATTTTGAAAGCATCCGTGGAATATGTTGCTTTCGTTTTTGTAATTTCGAAAACGGCTTTACGAACATAGCATCTACATTGTCAAACGATTCAGCGTTTTCCATATCACTTTTTCCACTGTGATTACCACCTTTCTTCGTAAATGTATAGTATTTCTTATCTTGTGAATTTTTAATACAAGACTCAGCTTCCTCTGTTATTTCAGCATGAGATTTAATTTTGCTAAGTGATGACTCCTTTTTATATGTATTGTATTTATTTTCTACAGGAATATCATTTTTATCATTCTGACACAAAGCTTCATCAATTTCTTTCTTAGGTTTTGCATTTTGACATACTTTATCTACATGATTAAATGTGCAATCCAGTCTGTGATCTCCACTTTTGTATATTTCTGCTAATAATTCTTTCCTCAATAAAGTCGGCGTTTTAAAGTTCGAATTTAAAATTGTATTATATACTCGAGGTGGCTCTAAATGTTTATTAGTCATTCTGTATGTAGAATTTAATGTATCCATATTTTTAGGCGTTGACTGATTACAAAGAGGAATTGGTAACTTAAACACAGAATTCAAAGCATCATCATGAATAAGCGAAAAGGAAGAATTTGCGAGAGGCATGGAAGAGTCAACCATAATTTTCGTTATATTGTGAATTACAGGTTTTTGCAATTTGTCTGATTCATCTTTGTTATGTTGCATGTCACTTTTATCAGTTGAAGCTACACCATTACTTGCTTTTTCAGTATCTATAGTACAATATGTAGTATCTAAAACAAGCAAGTTTTTTTCTTTCTGAGAAATTGATGGATATGTAGTATTTAAGTTACATAATTCTTTCATTTCATTATTTTCAGATTGTAATAATTTTATATTATTATCATTTTTATTTACATATGTGGAAGACAAATTAGTTGTACTAGATTTATCTTTATCAGAATTTGACAATGTAACTGTTTCAGAAGTTATATCAACATTATAGGTTTCATTCATTTCATTTTTAATCTCATCAGATTTATGTGTAGGTATGTTATTCGTTGTAATCAGGCAGTAGCTTTTGTTATTGTCTGATTCATTACTTTTTAAAAATGTCTCATTGATATTTAAGTCTCCAACATCCTCATATTTGTCTATTCCTTGGTTACATAACTGAATCACATTTAAAGCTTTCTCATCTTTATCACATTCTGTATTATGTAATAAATCATCTCTAGGCAATGAGGTAATAGATGAATAAAAAATAGAGGGTTGTGAAACATTCATCAGAGGATCATTAAGTCCAGGTTCCATTAAATTAATAAATGAATCAATTCCCTTTGACTGAGACATATTTAAGAATACTTCCATGCTTTCTTGACCTGACATTATGGCCTCATCAGCAAAGAAAGTAACATTTGAGTTAGATGCCATTTTTAACATAGAGGGCACAGTTTCTTCTTTATTGGCAATAGATATGTCTGAATATTTATTTAACTGTATATGAAAAAATATATTTAAAGTAATATTTTATATATAATATATGTCATAAATACAAATAAACTTACATCTTCCTCTATATTTGAAAAATTTGAAGTTCTCCATGTATTTGACACAGGTGAAGATAAAGATTCCAAAATAGATTCAAAACTAGTTCTACTAGACCGTTTCTTAGATCTTGTAAATGTTCTTGTATCAATAGATTTTCTATTAGCTGAATGAAATGTATAAATATGTAAATTTCACATACAAAATTATATGGAAGTAAGTAATAATTGATATTTTTAATACCTGAAAAAGTCAGCTCCGGTTCAGTTTTTAACCAGGTGTACAAATCATGAACTGTAGATTCCGTTTTATATTTTGTTGGTACATACAACCTAATGACAAAAATAATATTAACTATAAACTACATAACATTAAATAATTCATGATCATTAACTAATATTTAATAAAAAATTGTTTAAGAAATTTATTTATACCATATAAATATATAAAGTTTAGAAATGATATCTAACAAATGTCACTTACAATATATATTTTTTATAATACAAACAAAACATATATATAAAATAAAACATCAAATTTTATATTAAATTTTTCTATGCTACTCAATTTTTATAATAACAAGAGAAAAATGATCAAATTTGAAAGACATTTTTAAAATATCTAATGAAATACTGTAGTATAAACAAAAAAAATTGTTAAATAACTTAATTTAAAAAGAAATAAAAAATTATTTGGAAATAAATTGATAATTAAAAGAACAAGTTATTATAAATACTTAATATAATTAAGAATTATATTAATATTACCAGCCATCACTGTCATCGAAGTCAAAAGTAGACACGTCAATAATTTCAGCTTCATCAATGAAGCTCCTATCGGGTATATATTGCTTCCTCACAATTTCCGCATCCACTTTCTTTCCTGACATGTTTTGTTCAGATTACAAAATTAAAAGTTTCGATGAACACATATTTTACCGTTAAATTATTTTTTCCCGTTTAGCTGGGTGACGTGGTAGATATATAAAAATAGTGTCGCGTTTGGCTAAGTCATTTACAAAATTCTGGAAGATTCAGTACCGTTTACAGTTCAAAAGAATATATGTTAAAATTAATTGAACCCTTTATAAACATAACCACAGATATGACAATAGGAACTTTTTATGATATTTTCAACTTGTTTTTAGAAAGATCAAAGCAGACCACGGTATAAAAGAATGTTCATAGAAGGTTCGTTTTGTTACGTTTTGTTTAACATCCTTTAACTTTCCTTTTATAGATATCACTTCCCTTAGTGCAGTTTAGTATCACTTTTATAGTGTGATTTTTCTAAGTTTCATTTACACACTTGACCAATGGAATTTTAATAAATCTGGGGAATTATGAATAGCCTTCAATACTTATTTCAAACTACACCTTTAGAAAATAAATTACAAATTTTAATTTTCAGTTTTTATCATTTTAGTTTTAAAATTAAAATTATGTTTAACTATGTTCTTTGTATTAAATGAATACATGAATTGAATTTAAATATTTAAATAGAGTTTAATAATTGACATTGATAAATACTTTTTCATATTCCAAAAAATTTATAATTTACTTTTAGATTATTCAATAATTGATATAGTTAATAACAAACTAAATTAATTAATAGTTGAATTTATGATACTCTATTAATAAAATTAACATAAAAATAATATATAAATATAGGTCGTTTCAACTTTTATTAAAAAAATATAACAAAAACACAAATATGAAGGGACAGTAACAAATGCAATTGCTTTACTCATTTTTACATATATAACGTTTTCTTCACATTTTAAAATAAAAATAAACATGACAGTTAGAAAACAATAATATTATGTTATAATAACGTAAAATTCGTTGAGTAATTACTGTTTGTAATAGACGATTCATATATGTATAATATTATCAATGGTTGAGAAATGGTCGATATACATTACACTTGTATTAAAGTTATACCGACATAACCAATAACTTTTTGTATAGTTTATTATTGCTATATTTATTTGTGTTATCATGTGAACTTGAGTAAGAAGTAAATGCTTTATACATAAGATAAAAACGTAAGTTATATTAAGTAATTAAATTTAAAATATAATTACTTTTCAACGAGTTGCATTTTTTATCTGTTTTTAAGTTCATATACATATTAAAATTTGTAATTATCTATTTTATTTTTAGTGGAAAAATTAAAAAAATTACGTATCAATATTGTCGAAAAACAACATAATAAACGTAAAAGAAATAAAATAACTTAGTTTAATTTAAATAAATCTTCATTAAAAATTTATTCACAATAGAATTTATTAGTTTAATAATGAATATTAATACAGATAACAGTGAACCTGCTAACAAAAGAATTAAATCTAATGAAATAGAAAATGATTCATTCAGTGTTTTAGAAGAGAAGATTAACATACATAAATATCCTGAATGTCAAGAAAATGCAGATTTAACAGATAACGAAGATGAAAACATATCACCATTAAATAAAGATGATGATGATGATAGTTTATTTTCATTTCCTCCAGACAATGATGTTACAGACATGTTGGAAGGAGTAAAATATCATGGATCATTTCCTACAATCACAGATCGATATTTTACTGCCTATTATAAATTAAGTGTACAAAGTCTTACAGATGATATTTGTATTTTAATGCATAGCAATCGGATTTGTATGCTTACACTTGCTCCAAGTCATACAGTTCTTCAAGCTGATAAACATATAATAAAAGTAGATTTCAAAGTTAGCAACAAGCTAGATAGAGTTCTGAATAAAGTTTCTGGTAAAAGTAAACATGGGGCTCAACCTTTACAAATGAATTCTAATATTTGTATAATTACTTGTTCAGATGAAAAAACATACATTATAAAATGTTGTATAATTGGAAAATTGATAGAAGTAAATGAAACATTAATACAAAATCCTAAACTTTTATTGGAACCTCCACATAAAGGAGGTTACTTAGCTATAGTACTTCCAAATATAAAACTTTTGGACAAAATGAAAGAATCTATGTTAACACAGGAACAGTATGAGTTAAAAATGTTAGAACGACAGAATACTAAAAATCATTTGGGAATATCAAAAATAGGTACAACAAATATTTTGTTAAAAGATGATTTAAAAATAATAAATAATAAGACTCAATTGAACTGTAATGAAGAGGAAATCATATTACCTAATGTTAGTTGATTTGATATAATTAAAAAAATAGTAATTGTCTATTATATATCTTCATCTAAATTTTCAATAAAAACCAGTATATAAATATAAAAAAATTTATTTATACTTCCTTTTGTAATGCAATATTTAGGAACAAAAACTTAGTTTTCTATTTGCTATCTATAATGTTGTTATCTTTGGTACAACCCTTAATTTGTAAATTTAAGATATATTATATAAAAATTACTTATTTCAATAAATCATATCATTTATAATTTTAAAGACTATATAGTGTAAATTATAACTAAACGTTAAATTTGTCTTATGGCACCCAACATATAGTTAGAACTAATTTTTTTCTTGTCAGTTCCATCATGTTCTTTGTTTAATACATATACTTTACTTCTACAATTACAGTGTGTATATTTAATGATTATCTGTAACAGCAGAGTAATTACTGTTGTTTCTATGTGGTGAAAATAAGTTTTTTTTTTCAATTTTCTTGTACACTGTCATCTCTTTTGCATGCTGACTCTTTCATGAGATTTCCTAAAATGATTCCTATGAAAAGAATCATTCCTATCTTATGATTGGATAGAAATTTCTTAGCACAGTCTGTAGAATTGTTTATATTCAAACCGTAAATCTAAAAAAAATATTTACATTAAATATTACTCTGTTTGACTTTTAAAACTGTCAAGTGCATTATAATAGTATATAATAATATCAAATAATATAATTATAATATAAATAAATACACTGTAAATGAGTTTCTTTACTTAATATGTTCTGTATTTTGTTAGATTGTTAATAGGTAAACATTGACTTTTTCCAACAAAGAGTTTTCCAACAAAGATTAAAGTTTTCAGTGTCACTACTGTTTTGTGATAAGTAGAGTGAGTGAGTGATTCAAGTTTTACACAACCAATTGAAAAAAATAAAAATGAGTTTATTCAATTATCAAAATCATAAAAAAAAAATAAAAAACTAATAATTGTAGTTAGAACACAATTAAACATAATTTAAATGAAATTATATTTGAACCTATATTTATTGAAAACACTACAATTAATGAAAAATATATTATATACCTGATTAGTAAGATGAGTACCAACTAATCCTACTGCTGTATAATATGGCCAAGTCTGTGTAGTTAATATACCTGATGCAATTAACCCTGTTATCATAATTGCACTAAATCCAGATAAATAAGTTTTCGTCTTATCTCCAAACTTTATAGCTGTTGATTTAATGCCTATTATAACATCATCCACTTTGTCCTATAATACAAAAATAAAGAGTAAACAAAATACAAATAATAAATATTAGCATTTTAATAGATAGACAATAAAGTATTAATACTTCATATTAAATATATTCTGTATATTAAATATATAACACAAATTTATGTAAAACAAATACTAACATATTCCTAACATCATCCATTGGATTTGAATGAAATTATTTATGTAAAAAATAGAAAAGTTATCTTTAGTATATTTAGACAGTTTTCTAAAAATACATTCAGTCAATGCATTGAAGTATTAAAAGAAAATTTAAATGTACCTGATGTGCATATATAGTATCATATAAAAGTGTCCAACAGATACAAGCAGCATAAAGTGGTAAGCATACATGCCAATTACACGATCCTTGCACAGCAGACCAGCCCAAAAGAGTACCCCAGTTAAAAGTCATTCCAAGGATTAATTGGGGCCAATATGTTATTCTTTTCATAACAGGATATAATATCACCAAAACTGTAACAAAAAATTTAGTAATTTAATTGACAATATTTTTTTATTTACTTTAACATTTCCAAACTTTAGTTTATAATTTTTATAGAAAGAAAATTAAACTTTGTATATGTGAGAAAATATATGTTTATCATTATTATTAATGAAATAATTTGTCTAATTGTGTTTTTATTTTCATAACTAATAATAAAAATAAACCTTTGAAATGAAAAAAACATCATTTTAGAACATCAATTAATACATAAAGTTAAGAAATACTGTTCCATATATTGTATAAATACTATTTTATAAAGTGTTTAAAAACATACTTATTGAGCTTGCACCCAATATAATACTGTAAAGATTTAGTTGTAACAATATTAACAATCCCAAAATTAATTGGCATTGAAGGAAAATCAATGCCCCTAAGGGTGAAATTTCCCTAGTAACCAATGGTCTATCTTTGGTTCTGGCTACCTAAAATTAAAATGTTCTTACAATATCTTATTGTTAAATATTTTTTAAGTTTATATTACCATTGAATCAATATCTTGATCCCATATATCATTTATGATACATCCTGCTCCACGCATGATGAATGCACCCATTGCAAAAAGAGTTAAAAGTTTGAGATCTGGGAGTGCACCTGGTGCTGCTGCCATTGCTATGCTCCAACCACAAGGCCAAAATAATAACCAAGACCCTACATATAAAAATTATTAACAATTACATACATACATTACATTCATTTTGTATTATAATAAAATAGTGAACTATTTCATTTCTTTTTGCTAAATTGTAATTTTATAATTCTAACAACTATAAAAGTTATTGAATGATAGTCAATGAATTTTTATATATTAGAATATTATTTCAGTTATTTATATGTTTTTTAATATATGTTTATAATAATGTAATAATAATAATAATAATAACTGTAAATGATTTATATCTTACCTATTGGTTTATCCATTCTTATAAGCTTTAAGTATGGTTGTATTTTAGCTGGAGAATTATTTACTAATTTTGTAGCAAATGTGGTTTTTTGTTTTGACTGAATATTTGTTGTTTTATACAATTTTGTTGTTTCATTTCCGGTTTTTGATAAAAGTTCAATTGCTTTTAATGTTTCTTGTGTTAACGGTTTATCATTTTCATAATTACATTTGCTATACATGCAGGACATAGTATGGACTGCATTGCAAGAATACAAATAATTAACAATAGGTTTTCTTTGATTGAACTGTAGATAAAATCTCAAATATTTGCTTTGTCCGAATAATTCTTGACAATACCGCATCATTATTATCATTTACTTTTTTATTAATTATAAATAATAATCATAAATCCTTCATATAACCTTAATTCCTTTTAATTTTATTCATATTATAACAAATATTAATTACTAGAAGTAGTAATTGTATCCATACACTGAGCATTAACGTTGTTATTCATATCTAAGTCACTATAATAACAAACCTATATGTTTTTGCATTACATAACGAATTCCATAAATTACACTATCAAATTAGTTGTCATACTTTGCAGTAGAATTATATGCATGCAATCAATATATAATTTCTTGACATGCGCAGTTGCTAACTATATTTCAGTAGTTACGAAAATGTTGGATAAGAAATATAAAACATTAATAATATAAAAGATATTTGTACTGTTTTAATTTAAAACTATCAAAACACTTAAAATTTTATTTAATAAGATCTTGTTTGATTCTTAATTTAAGTAAGTATATAATATAATCATTATATTTAAGTAAATAATATATGAATATTTTAAAAAATACACGTGGTATGTATAAAAAAATAATTGAAAATTCTTATTTTACATAGAAATAATATTAAGAGGTTAAACAAAAATTCTTATAAAAAATTATCCTGTACTTCATATCTAGTCGAACAAAAAAATTATTGACTTATTAATTAAGTTTTATACTATTATATAAATTATAATATCTATTAAGCTTAACTAAAATATTCGTCTAATATAATTTATTTTTGAAAAGCCCGCCATAATATTATCAATTTAAGTAATGTTCAAGGTCGAGAAATGATTACGTGTTGTTAAGTGTTGCGTATATTTTATGTTTAAGGTGTTTTTAAATACACTGCAACTTTTTACAATGTCTGCAGTTCAAAAATTCGAAGTTTTATTTATTTTGGGCGGTCCAGGTGCGGGTAAAGGTACTTTATGCAGGTACATTAATCAAGAATATGGTTATGCACATTTATCTGCTGGGGACCTATTAAGAGAGGAACGCAAGAAGCCAAATTCAAAGTACGCAGAACTTATTGAAGATTATATTAGAAATGGAAAAATTGTGCCTGTTGCAATTACCTGCAACCTTCTGGACCTTGCAATGCAAACGTCTGATAGTTCCCATAAAAGATTTTTGATTGATGGTTTTCCACGAAACCAGGACAACATTGATGGTTGGGTTGAGGTATAAAGATAGTAACAAATATAGTAGTATTATTTACTGAAGAAGATCTTTCAATGATTCAAAGATGATACTTTTTCAAAGATTTCATTATTTTCTTTGTACCTTTATCACAGAATACTTTCTCTATTTTCATCTCTCCTCCTTACATTTTCTCATATTCCTTTTATCTAATTTTGTAGGGTTCTTCTTTGTTGCATAATCCATAATTTCTTTTATCTTCTTTCACTGAGCATCTATTATAGTTTTGTGTATTCCTGTGTATAGTTTTTGGCAATAATTTTTGATTCTTATTCTTGTCTTTTTTGCACAGGTATTCTGCTTTTACTCAATTCTTATTAATTTGTAACTTCCATTGCATTTTACCAACTCAATTTTGGGTTTTCTTTCCTACTTTGGTATTTGCTTGTCTCTCTTTATTAATGCTTGTTCTCCTCCTACTATCAGATCCTAATTGTGATCCTTTCCTCAGAATCTTCTCTAAGTTTAATATGAAAATCGTAAATAATACTAGACTTATTAGGCATCTCTGCTTCACACTGCCTTTAGTCTAGAAAGAATTTGTCAATTTTTCTGTACCTCTTATTCTGTTATGTATCTCCTAGAAAATTTTCTCACATATCTCCACCTAGCTACTTCTAATTTCTCTGATTGCCATAACCTTCCAGAGTTTTTCTCTTAATATCTTAGCACTTTCAAATCAATGAAAAATACATACTACTTACTAAAAATCTTTGTTATCTTTTACTTTACAGTATGCTATAAAACATATACATTATCACTATGCTTGTAATATTACTAGTGTATTACTAATGTATTACTAATTTGTAAATAATCAAACATTATACACATATAAAATAAAATTGTGTGATAATTATCTTCTTTTATGAAAATATATATTTTTGAAAGTACATTATAATCTATCTTTTTGTTTATAGGCTATGGATAATAAGTGTGAAATAAAAGGAGTATTATTTTGTGAATGTAGTAAAGAACTATGTACTCAACGATGTTTGAATCGTGGTGCAGCAGGAAGTGGAAGGTCTGATGACAATGAAAAAGCTTTAAACAAAAGACATGAAACTTATATCAAAGATACCATACCTATAATTGAACATTTTGAAAAGCAAGGGTTGGTGTACAAAGTAAATAGTATGCAATCACCAGAAAAAGTATTTGCAGATTGTAAAGAAGTTTTATCTAAAATAGGTTGGTGATAAATTAGTGGCAAATGTTAATAATTTTAGTGAGATAAAATTATATCCTATTTGCATTTAACATTATTTAATTGTAGAAAATATATATCTTCTATACCCTCCCCCTCCACACAGATACACGTATATATGTGTATATAGATATATTTTATAAGAAATGTTTATTCATACTGGTAGTTTGTGGAATTTGTAGAATATTAGATTATTTTTATGCCAATATTTTTTTTGTTCTTAGCATAGGTAATATAATGTTTATCATGTACTTATGTTTTAGAATTACAGTGATAAATATTTCTTACAAGAATTTACAAATGTTTCATTACAGTATTTATTTACATTCATATGGAAAGATATTTGATATTCTTTGGTACCATGTTATATGTATACTTATGAAATATTTTTCATATTTTTGTTTAGAAAAATTAATAATATAAAACAGCAGAATATATTGTTAGTTTAAAAAATATGTACATTGTTTCTATTAAATAAAATATATGTAAAATATATTTTTAGTACAATAGCAACTTATTTGTTATTTTTTCCCATATAAATCTCTTCTTTTAATAACAATGGTATTTTAATTAAAAATGTTACTCCTATATTATCATGTATGTATAAAAAAGGTATTTTGAAGTCTTTGGATAATTCCATACCTTAAGTTATTTAGATAATAGATTCACAGTATTCCTTATAAATATAATATTTGTTTGTTTAATATATTTCTCATTTTTAAAATAAGACTGGTACATAATTAAACATATTGAATTATTTTTTACAAATTTATTTAATCTTTTAGTTTTATTTATTTGAATTTCAATTATTAATTTTTTGGTATTGTATTTTAAGTTTATTTAAATAATATATAAAAAAATAACTTATTTCAAGTACATAATATAAATAATTTTTATTTGTTTAAAATAAATTTGACGATTTAAATATTGAATCCCCGTAGGTAGACAACCAAACGTACAAGTATAATTTTACAGTGCTACAGGCGATAATGATTTCTCATCTTTATTTTTAGTAAAAGACATCAACTTTTACCTAACCAATTTTATTAATTTATATTCTTTAATATTTCATATTTTTGAGTGTTCAGTTCTTTTTACTTTTATAAAGATCAGAATTAAAATATTCAAAACGTAACTTTTAATATTATAATAATTATAAATTGGTAAATATTTATGTCTTGAAAATTACATTAAGAATGCAATGTAAGTTTATTTCCAAATATTAATTATCGATGGAGAATAAAAATTTTCTTCTTACACTAAAATTTATATATATATATTTAGTATTAATTGTCGTATGTTATTCTATTATTATATATCGATAATTAAATAAAATATTAAGCAATTCAAAATTTTAAATAGAAAATTGAGCGATTAACGAAGAATTTATTAAAAAAAGACAAAAAAGACAAATTTATATTTTCCAAAATAATTATTTAAATTATACGTACATATAACAGATTTTTATATGTATAAGCCGCATATAAATATAGCAGTAGAAATCTAATTCTTTCATTTATCGATGTTTATTTTCAAAACAGTATAAGTGACTAAGTTTAATCATTAAATGATTCAAGTAATTGTGACAGCTAATCGAAAGAAGCGCATTACTATTGAAAATGTAAACAATATTAATTCATAGTGACGTATCCATTCTGAGGTCATGTATTAGCCCATGAATCATTGAACTTTCAAGATATTGGATGTTGTGTAGTACAGTGTACACAGACCGTCTTGTAATTCACGTTTCTACTGAAAAGAGGACGATTTCTCATCCTAAAATAAATCGAAAATGAAGAATTAAACATCGAATGATATACCTCTATTAAAAGATTTAAAAACCAAAATTATTCCTGATATTTTTCTTGTTAAGTTTCCATAAAAGACATTTTATTAAGTGTATTTTATCAATAACTTGATTATTATTTTTGTTAATTAAATAGAGATTGATGTAATGTATATACATCTTTGTGAGATAAAGAAAGGAACATTTAAGAAGAAAATAAAAAGTTAAATTTAAAAAGTTTTCGATACTGAAGTTACTATTAATAAAATAGTATATTATTACAACGATATTATGTACAGAATGTTTCACTTAATTTTATCATTTAACATTTTCATTAATATAATTCTATTGAAACTTTAATTCGTGAAAACTTGTCAAAAGAAAAAGAATGTTTCTTAAATATTTTCATGTAATATAATATAAATTCTTTTTTTGAATGAAACGAATAGGATTTAAAAAAAAATTAAGTTTATAAAAATTATTAAGAAAGAAAAGAATAGGAGCAGATAAAAATTATATAGTGAAATGTGTTGAGTTGGAATTTGAATCGATTGCACGTGTGCTGAATTTCGAAATATTTTTCATGTAAAAGATCGACATCTTTAAATTCTCTTTTTACTTCAAAATTCATCTGCTTTTCGTTTTAACCATAAAGTTTATCAGCGTAGTTTCTTAAACTTATAAAATAATTTACTTGAATATGAAATTTAATTGATTGGACTGTTAAGGAGATATTAAACTTCTCAACGAATATTCGGTTTAATTAACTTTTGTTAATTCATGTTTCTATAACAAAAATTGACTTTTATAGTTAAGGTACATTAAACTACACCTTGCTTTACTAAATATTGATTATAAATATATGTATGACATTCATATAATATTTTTTACTGTATGCATACATGTATAAAATTTATATAAAAACATTGAAATTCTTGAAGTTTATTCGGCTCTTACATGGACAAAGTTATTTATAAACTGGGAGACAAAAGGCAAAGTGGAAGTTGGAATTCTGCATTGAAAGAGCATTGACTTCTTTCGTTGCCCGATTACAAACTGATCCCCGCTCCGGTGTTAACGTGCCTTCACTGACGAAAGATCGACCCGTTTTCAACTTTCTCATCGAGGTAGCCGAAATGTGTATCGTTAATGAGCGAGCCATCATGACCGCCATGAGAAACTCTGATGTGTGAAAATAATCCTGTGGTCGAGCATTCAGTTGAACATAGTCTCCTACGACGCTTTCTTAAATGTTTCCTGTCATCAGTTCAAACAACAAAGTATTAGATTTAACGACTTTTCTTTTTATCACAAATTATACTTTCCTTCTTACACCTTTTTTTTTTAGGTTAAGTTAGCAGACATATAGTTATTAACTATGGACAAAGAAAGTATTTATAGGTTTATATATTACTATTTATTTTGGTATTTAATGTATTTTATGTACAATTTAAATGTAACAGAAAGTACTACATTTTATGTTATTTAGTAATGTTTTTATGTCTGCATATGTGTAGTATTATAGAAATGAGATTATATTAATTTTTTAATCTTTATTCAAATCTTTATTCAGGACACAAATTATTTCACTTTATTTACTAATCATTTTATTATATTTCTTTTTTTGTTCGTTAGTGAATATTATTAATATCATATAAATAAATTATTTCGAATTTTATTAATTAATTTTATTTCATAAATCATTTATCTTTGCCATTTTATTTAATTTTTCATCGATTAATATCATTAACACGTTGTATTAATTTATTAACTAACATTAACATATAATTAAAATAATTTGAATATTGTCAATATGGTATTAAGTATCATAATTAAATAAATATCATGAAACTAAGTATGAATTTTTATATCGTTCTATGTGGATAATAATTTTTTAAAATTTTCCATAATTCTTTATGGAATTATCAATCTTTATTCAGTATCTATCTAGTAAGTTAAGTAGCAGAGTTTTGCGATTAATACTCGCAACTTGATTTCCTTGTATCGATTATCTTTGAGCAAACCATATTTCTATTCGTTAATTTTTATCGGTCACGCTTTCTAGGCTCTCTTTACCTTCCTTTCGTTAACTCCCATTTTTCCATTACGTATTTAAATATTTTTAGGTTACAATAGCAAATTTGCATTTTCGTTTCATCATTGTATAATATGGAAAAGGTTGAGTAAAAAAAATTATTTATTCCAATATTTCTTTTTTGTTTTAATATATGCTATATTTCTAAGATATATCTATAAATTTTACATTAAACTTCTTTACAATAATAAAATCTATGTATAGCTAATTGTACGTACATACATAAATTATGGCTAGAATATTTAGGAATAGTGGTTTCTGATATAGTATTCTATATCAGGAATATTATAAAACTTATTATTTCGTTGAGATTTTATATAGTTATCATATAAAAAATTCTCTTAATATTATCATGGGTTTCTCTTGAATTGAAAACTGCCCAAACTAAGCTTTAGCGTTTATATTTATTTCTATGTTCCGCTCCTTTCGTCTTCTTTTTATAATAATTAACAATTTTTGTGACAACGACGAATTGAAAATTCTCGTTAATACCTTAGACTATGTTTGCAGTGTATTTGTACAAATTTAGATTTTTGTTTGTCTCTATTTAACGTCGTATCGACATTGGGATCATTAGGGATAGGTTCGTATTAGGTACATGTATTTATAATAGTTTTAAGTACATGTTTGTTTCTTTTAAATTTGTTTTCTATCGTACGATTAAATTTGCCTAAAGTTATCTAAATATACCTTGAAGCTACCCAAACCGATGTTTCATTCAAATTGTAAGTACTTCCCGCGCATCAGTGAATGGAAGTGGTGGGGGGAACCAATCTACCTGTTGATATAGCAGAAGTCGAAACAGTACATAAGTTTTTGAAAGTGAAAATAAAATGTATGTTTAATTATTTCAAATATCTTAGATAAGGAAGGTTCTAAAATGTAATGTCTATTTTTTAATTAAGTCTTGCACAGTTATAATATTTAAAGATATCAATATACAGTTTTGAACATTGATGGTAATAATTTACAAGATATTTAATGTTCCAATTTTCATTAATTTAATAAACGAAAATACGTAGATGTTTTAGTTTGCTCGTTAATGCATTGGCAAATTTATATTAAAAATACATTAACACGGTATTTACATATAAATATTAAAATAGATCTAAATCAAATCATTTATCCTTTATTAATTCTCAGTTTTATTTCTAAGGGAGTTCTCGAGTTAAAGGCAATCCATCTAATATATAATAATTGGTACTTTCAAAATCTCATAACTGATAAATTTTTACACAAACGAAAAATTTTGGAATTTGATAAAGGCAACCTTGAAGAACAGACGGGAATTCTCTGGTCAACAAATCATTATCTATCATGTACAATTATCCCGTTTGTTTTATCTTGTGAAAACGATTATTACACACGTAATCAGTATGATTCGTGCAAAAGTAATTAATCGAATCTATAACCAGAGATTGGTAGATTCTGAATGATGATTCGAGAGTTTTTGTGTGCATAATGACAAATTAAAGAAAATTTGGGTGGCTTGTCGACTTCGTTCATCTAATTTTCTCGAGTTTCTTAAAGTCACAAACTTTCTGCAGTATAAAGCTGGTATTACCTTTGAAGATATCAATATAAAAAATCTCTTAAATTGTATGTGGAATTCAGAGAAATTTAAAACGAAATGTAAAGAATTTTCAAGACACAAGTTTAGATTATACTGTTTTATTTATTCATTACTTCTCTTTCTTACATTGTAAAGCTTTGTAAAGATTATTTTGTGAAGAAAGTTTTAAAGCAGCCCATGTTACGATTAAAGTCCTATTTAAAGCAAAGAAAATTCTAAAGAATAATATCGAGAAATATCAAATAATATTACCAATATCTATTTCTCTTTTAATTACAAGTTATAAAATTCTATTTTTCTCCATACATCTCGTAAGATTCCTGAAATCACCCACTTTCATTTCCATAAAGCGAAAATTTCCACGTGTAAAATTTTTCAAACTTGCTTTAAATTTTATATAATATATACCAGAACTTTTGGAGTAGACTTTTAATCGTTATGCGTTATTTAAATAAGATTATGATTACCATTGATACTAAGAAACTACATCGATTACGTTAGATTCTTATTTAACTGCGTTTTCTCCACGGTCAAGTTAAATTTCAGGACACTGTCCCCAGTGACTCATTCGAGAAAAGAAGGGGATTCACCTTACCACTCCCACTCTAGTTCCCTAGATACTGCGCGCGTCAATTCTACCGCGTTTCCGCTTCAGCGCGATACGTTACTCGTTCCCGCCATTTTCCAATTAAATCACTAGCACATTGACTTCCTTTTTTTCTTCAATAGAAACGATACTTGTGCACGTAATTTCGGTCAATGAACTTGCCGCGTATTTTTCTCGATATTTTCCTCTAATTGTATACAGCAATTACGCGTTAAACACGTGCTCGTTCCACACGCTTACGTAACGCCATGTTTTTCTTTTCTTAATTGTCTTCGACTTTTAACTTTTCCTCCACTAGTAGTATGAAACTCCAGAAGTTTAACTATGATATTCTTCTATATGAACGAGAATCATTTTTGCATTCATGATTAATGCACTATGTTGTTGGTTAGATGTATCTGGAGTTTATTTAAGAATTCCTCTTTTTCTTACTAGGTATATTAGAGAATATGTGCGATTTTAGTATCTAGAACATAATGACGTTTAACAATTACTTTACTAACTTTGGTTGCAAAGTATATCATGCAATCTGATACGAAACTCATATGTCTAATCTTCGTGTATAAAGAGTGGATATAATTATTATTCGTGTACTATATTTATTACACATTCCTATTCATAAGTATCTTTATAGTTACTATTCGTACTAACTTAGATAGTCATACGCTTGGTACTAATTTACTTTGATTTTTACATTATTGATGCTGATTTGCCGAATTATGACTGTTTGACAAATGAGATGTCTTCGAATGATTGATTATAACGTTTATCTTCTTTTTTTTTTTAATTTGATATCTGTTGATTGCTGTCGGAATTTTATATTTGTTTTTTATTTGGTATAATTGAGATTTTTATCTCATTTTGATGTTTCTTCTTTGCTTTTGACTTCATAAATTCGAACTTATGGAAACTGAATGGAGATGTTGTAATTTAATAATTATTGTTTACTATGTATATCATTATAATTTATATTGTGATAATTTACTAATTATTATTTTATAAACATTTCAAATATTGTAATATAGTTATCGGGCATCTATAGTGCAGTCATCGGGAGGAATTCAAGAAAATCAGTACAGGTTAGTCCGTTGGTGGTCAGAAAGTGGCAGTAAAATTGTCCAAGTATCAGCGTCAAATTCCACGAGTTTTTGTATGTAAATATATATAATAAACGGGATGTTTCTTTATTGCTTCAGGTCCACTTTAAAGAAGTATTCGGTACTAAAGAGAAACAATAAAAAAGGTTCATATAAACGTACGACCTACTTGCCCTTGTCTTCAGCTTATAGTCATTTTGTGGTTCCGTTGGTCCTTCTTAAATAACTCAGGTAATATAACCGAACTTATTGAATGTTACACGATTAATTTTTAAATGGATCTCTTATTAAGCAGCTAAAATTTCAGAGCTTTGCTAATTAAACATTCGTTGATCTGCAAAGGATTACGATTAGCCATTTTTAAAATAGTCATAAGTAAATTGATATATATGATATATGTTTATATATATACTTGTATAATTATATACAATTATATGTAATATTTTAATACAATATTACGTCATGTATCAATAAGTACCAATTAAATTGGAGGTTATGTCTATAGCTTCCTTTCGCGTTCTTTAGCTTCTTGCCACATTCAAATATAGTAGGTACCTTCCATGTTTTCTACGTAATTACAATATCATCTGACAAATTATGTCTGCGAAGCTGAAAAGTTGTTATTTTTATTCTATTTAGGCTTATTGCAGAAAATACTAAATAGATTTATCGTAAAAATTTATGATAAAAAAAAATACTGCTCTTTTTCTCACCAAAAGAAAATTTAACCTTTTATCTTACAATACCACTGATTACACGGTTTTTTGCCAAAATGATTTCTAAGGAGCTTTTAATTTTAATGTTATAACTCGAACAACATTTCAAACAAAAGTTCAGAACATGAAAATATTATTATATGTAATAATAATATCTATAATAACATACTCTGAATAATTCAGCAATAAGAATCATCTTGAAAGAAATTAAGAATGGTGCTAAGAAAAGAATTTAAATTAGAGCGACTAGAGCGCATTCTATTGGTAGATACATGTAACGAAATTCCTGGATAATTTATAACAGAACCTCTGTTTTGATAGTTATTCTAGTATCCTTTGTGTAACATGATATTTGAATACTATAAAAGCTCAAACAGTAAAGAACATAGAAATTATTATAATTAAGCGAATAACATTTAGTTTAACGTAACTCTTTTACTATTATTAAATTTAATATAGAATTCTACAATAATTGAAAAACATTTAATTTATTAAGCTCACGTTGTTTACAAAAATTACTTTACTTTTAAAAGTCTTTGCTTTTTTTTTTTACTATGTCTCTATTTTCATGGTCTTCATAATTTTCCATTTTCTATTTCATTTGTGATCTATGATGTGTTCCAAAAAACATGAATGTGGTAAATTAATATTAATTGGCGAAAGAAATTAATAATTAAGCATTAAATGTTATATTCTGCGGAAACAATGGATTTTCAAGTATGATTCATTTATTTTGAATTATTATAGCTGTGTGACTTTTCTGAGTATATTCAAGATCATGTCGGATTACTAAGAATAAATATTCGCGTGTATAAACAGTGTGACAATATAATTTCTAAACTGATGTTGTTATTGTAGTACCAGTACTGCATATTACTGAACAATAATGGAATCATTCAAAGTAAACATTACTTTCAGATACATTGCTATATCTGTACAATAATACTTTTTTTTTTAATATTTTATTATTTTTATGTTAATTTATCAATGTATCAGTGTATTAATATTTTCATGCTACAGAATAAAATGAAATAAGGAATTACAAAGTTAACAAATTCTTAATATACAACGTGTCGAGAATCGGAAGAAACCCATGAAGATAAAAGCGTATCAAATGTGAAAGTAAACAAACAAGTTTACACTGCTAATTAACAAATAATTAAAGCTATATAGCATTTCTTCAACCCTCTAACATGTACATGAAAAATAGATGATACAATCTCATTTACACATGCAGTTTACAATACCGATGAAGTAATTAATAGATTACAAAGGTGAGATTCAGCGAGAAATATTTGCACTCGAGTTTAACTTAATAACAGCTGTAACAAGGAGATGAAGAAGTCTCTACAGTCTGGTGTAAACAGCCGAAGTCATCTCTCCACGCGTTCGTTCGATCTTTCTGATCGACTCGTCAAATTCCTACCACGAATACACCAGAGTGCTGACGCGCTCCGACTCTCTCCACTCCTCTCTTCTTTCCGAGACACATTACTCACGCGCGTAATCCTCCGGTCGCATCGATAAGAGGTACCCATCGTCGGTCGAATGCTCTTACCCCCATCATCGCACCAGAGCCTCGAGCAATATATAAATGCACCAGCGATTGACAGAACGTACAGTTCACGTTTTGACGTCTCTTACGCTCCTTTTACGCGTGTACACCTAGCCAGCAGTGGACACGTGACTGCGCACGCCACGTGCTTCGACCGAAACGACACGTGTGCCAACTACGCTTCCATCTATCATCATGGGTTTCAGTGATTTTCACCGAATGTTTTACACTTCCAATGGTAGTCCGGGTTGTTCTATTTCGTTCTTTGGTTTTTCGTTTCTGTTATTAATATCGGTCGGATCCGTCAAGTTGATGCGAACGTCCACTGACAAACCGGAAACGATGCTACTGGATTTTCTGTCCAAGCCCTTTGCGCCTTCCGATGGAGTGTCAGCAGAATGTCTCAGGGACAGCGCCTTTTATTTGAGGGAGCTTGATCAATATACGCCATGGGCTTTGCAAAGTAAGTTCAGTTTATGGTTTTCACACTTCTCAGATTTTTCTGCTGATTATCACGATGACTGCCATGGTGGTCACCAGTGACCGGCGCTTGTTTCCTCAGTGGGGCCATGGTGGTCACCAGTGTCCGGCGATAGTAATTTCTTAAATTTATATTTATTTTATTACAATTATTTTTTGAAAATTTGAACAACGTAAATAAATAGAGAACTTTGGATAGAAAACATTCATAATCATCATTTTTTTCTTTTCTTTTTTGCTATATTGTTTGATAATTCATCATTATATAGCCAAGAATAATGGACATTTTATCGTGGCACCCTGAACGTACTATATAAAAAGTGCGTGGCAGTCAAAGTGTTGTTTTATTAAAATTTGGAGTACTGCTTTGGATTTTTTCTGTCATTGAAATGTTATAACATCTGAAATGTCAGCGTGGAGTATCGAATTTTAAGATCTACGAAGATATTCTATATTCATAGTGGTCAAGTTGACCACTATGAATTTTCTTCCCTTTGAATTTTTGTCTTCTATGAATCTTATGTTATTTTGAACATTTGTTTGGTAGCAGGAAATTAAAAATTGAAAATGTGAAAAATTGAATTTAATCATTTTTTAAGCTTCTTTAATCACTACAAAAATATTTTTGCTCATTTCTTATGCAATTTCTATCTTTCTCTTATTTCTGTTTTAAATTAGTATGTATCATAAAGTCTGTGATTTAAGTTTAATTTCTTCAAAATTCTTTATATTTTTATTTTTACAATCTTCCTACATTTTTTCTTCTCTTTTATTGAATTTTGATTTCTGGACTGATATTTTAGACTCACTTAAGATTTAGAAATTACATTAAATATATTGTGAATTGTAAAATTATTTTTTTTTTTCATTTGTATTCATTTTGTTCTTTCTTTTTCAAATTTTCATCCCTACAAATTTTACAGATTTACTTTTTGATTAAATAAAATTTTATTGAGAGTCGTAGTCTATTTTGTTATTCCTGTAGTATATACAGCTTTTGAATATTTATTCACATTTTAGATCAAGAATTTTCGGACACCAAGAAGCATCAACGTTTAATTCCTTTTTTATATTTTTCTTCTTCGACTTAAGTGAATTTTCTGAATAGTACTGTTGTTTACTTGTTTATTATTATAATATAAAGATTGCGTTACATCTGATGACCCATGATTTTCTCGTATAAACAGAAGAATTTCTATTATTTTCTTTCGAAATTTCTACTTTCTTTTCTTAGCGCCTTTCATTTTTTCTTCCATTTTTGTGTTACATTTTTTCATCGTCCATTAAGTCTTACAAATAAAGTGTTTCTTAATGATAAGAAAATTTTATAGCATTTTGTCTCTAAATTTCTATATCTAAAATAAAATTGTTTAGTTCAGTAACGTTTAATGTAAAATTTGGACTATCAAATCAACGTGTTAATATATTATACATTTGTCCGCATTGATGTACTCTACTAGTACAAAAATTATTATAATGTTCATTAAAAATTTATGCTTATGTGTTCAATTGGTTATTTACAAAATGTTATTTCATTCTTTATATAACTTAAATTTCTTCGATATATCTTTTCTTTTAATCCCTTTAATTCAGTGTAGATGGTATTTTTTCCGTTTCGAAAAACAAAAATTATAATAAATTACAGTTCTCCACTTCAGTCTGGAAATTATGAATTTATAACTGCCATAAGTGGGCTGTTTAGTACCATCATTTTGCTATAATAATAAATACGATAGTATAAACACGAGTAAATTACTGTAAAGTAAATGGCATAAAATTAAAGAAAAAAATCACGTAGATGCAAACAAATATGCATTATCTCTTAAAAATTTGGGATCATTTCATCGACGAGGAAGAAACTTTTAATGGAAAGAATGCAAATCGATGCTCTAAATATATTATATTTTATATATTTTAAAATAATATATACAAATAAAATAGAAAAGATAGATTATAATTATTGATTTATAATTACTCAAAATGTTTCGACGATTCGATTCTTGATGCAATACTGCCTTCATATTTAATCTCATTCGTTTAATAATTTATATGTTCATTCATTCGTCGTAAATTTATAGTTATATATTATAATTCATATTTAATTGTACGTAGCTGACAATTGTGTATACCATTGGAAGTCAATTATCTAATAAGGAGACGTATTATGGTACTCAAGCCTCGTTTACATTAATCATGTTACTTATCAAATCGAGTAACGTATTTTAAGATTAAGCAAATAGCTAAAATGTGAAGGAATTTGTGTTTGCTGAAATTATTTCAATAGCGAACGAAGTTATTGATAAATCATTAAAAATTCAGTAAAACAAGATTAACAGAGAATTTTTGTCACCTTTCTGTCGTCATATCTCTTTTCTTCGTTGCTTTACAGAATATTATATCCTTCATAAATTTCAACAAATTAAGGAATTATTATTGTCACTGAAATGTTAATTAAATTAGGAATTATCTTATCATTAGTTCACTTATTATTACACATTCTTACAGCTTTACGATTTTTCTTTAAATGTAGTTTGATGTTGTATAGGATGTCTCATAAGTCAAATCCTTCCTTCTTCTTTTCAAAGCTCGTTATCGATGATAATTATACCGAAAAAAATCTCCACAATTTTGAAGTGAAAAGCTGAAATCAAAGAGAAATTCTAAAGGAAATTTGATGAAACATCCTATAGGTCAGGTGATATAATAATACCGTAAGAAAATTCTTATAGAGTCAATACATGATGGAGAAATTAGAAATCTTATTAATTTTCGAATAATTATATTACCGAAGTAATTCAGAAAGTCACCAATAAATTGTTTCTTCAAACAATTATCTCGAACCCACTGTTCCCTAAAATAGATGGTCATTTTCGAGACACCCTGTATTAAAATAACTCTGAGTTGAAAAACACTGTAATCCATGAGATTACACGAGGTGCCTGAATAACAGAAAATAAAAAATTGCTGCTTGCAAACATAAAAGGCAATTATGGCAACTCTATAGAAAAGACCTTTAGTAGCTATCGAGTAAACCTCCTAAAGGCAATAAATGGAGAACTAGATTATTTTTCTATCCCGTTCCCTTCCATAAATGTTAGAAGTGATCTGGAATTTTTGAAAGATAGTGTAAATAGGCGACATTACAGAGAGTTAAATATCACGAGTTTCACTGTTATGCTAACAAACCAACTTTCAAAATTCTTCGAGGAATTAACAGAAAAGACATCTCAATCTTTCAAGTGTCTACTTTAAATACAACTACAACGTTGATGTCGGGTTTATTTGCCGTAGAATGAAACTTCTAACAACTTCTCTACCAATATTTCGGCCATCAATAAGATAGCGATTACCGAAAAGAGATGCTGGAAATGGAATCGAGCACTGATTCCTATCTATCGGCATCTATCAATAGTGGATTGATAAGAATGATAATCGGCGCAGTACATAGCGATATTATCTCGGAATTCTAGCTAAAATTCTACCCACTCGAAACGTATGCTAAATGTACACACCAATGGTATAATCCAATTTTAGAAGAGGAAAAATCCCTTTTATCTGTCCAACAGCTTTCTAACATTATTTTAAAACCCGACAGTAATTCTTCCAACACTTCAGTTTGGTGCAATCTTCGAACGCTTTCGGAGCGAATAATCTCCCGTGTGGACGATGAATTCCCCGCGTATTATCGTTTTCATTTCATTCCAAAGGTCTTTCCATTTCGAACAAAAGCAATTTTCTGCAACGTTCCAGGAGTATTTGCGAAGAAAGGGGAGAGTCTTTTATCGTAATAGCTGAATTAATGAGGTGTAATAAGTTAGAAGATTGGTTGATTGTAATAAGTTTCATTGCATTTATTATTACCATTATTACTACTCATAAATTAATCGCAATGTAGAAAAGTAGTGGCTGAGTGTGTCACAAGGAACAGGTATAAAATTTTCTATAAAAATTTACGTACTGTGAAAATAACGTATTTCATCTGTTTCCAGTTACTGTAAGAATAAGAAAAGAGGTGTAAGAATGAAAGTACATTTCAATCGATCTACGATGTGTAATAAAGAGCGTACATGAGAGGCCAAATTATTATATAGAGGAGTTCCTGGTTTTTCCCGCTAGATGGTGCTAGTGATGTTATATGAGTAAAAATAAAAAATAAATGTTATATAAAGGTAGCTTAGTATTACTTTAACAATTACCTCGTTAGCTGTTTATAAGAACTTATACATCACTCCATTATGATAATAGAAGTAAAGAAAATTGACAAATGGACTCGCACTGATCGATAATCACCTCGTTAGCTTAAAACAATGAACAGTATTTATTTTTAAAAACAATCATTACTTGCGAAAAGTGAGCTTTATAATGAAGTTCCCTAATAACGATTATTTGAACATTTCTAGAAAATGTTCCATTATTTGATTGTTTCTTTATCCATTCTATTATGTGATAAAATCATGTTGACTTTAAAAATACGCGATTTAAATAAGAGTCTTTACCCCAACTCTTTTTATAGATATATTTTTAATGTCCATCTTTGAAAGTTGTTTTCATCGTGTGGTTTAAACTGTAGTATATTTTGAACAAGATGGGAATATCTTCAATCCTAGGATCATTGTCGGTTCATTATTCATCGAGTTCACTATAATTGAGGTTCTTAGTTGTGTCCATACTTACTTCTTACACTCTGAATTTTTTTCTTCAGATTTTTATACAAAGCAGAATATTTAAAAATTATAGGCAGTTTGTTTTATTAATTTTCTCTTTTTTTCAGATTAACGTATATAGAGACAATTATTATAATTTTAAAGATGTATCTTTAACCTTCTTAGTAGTTGTAGATATGAGACAGGATATGCTTTCGTGATTGGTTCTGACATTGTCTTTAATAGCTTTGCTATTGGTAGACTTATATTATGTATACACAGAGGGTAAACTATATTTGAATCTTTTGTAAGGTAATTCATAACCTTACCTCAGTAGGAT